AATTACATCGTCAATACTTCAAAATATTCGTTGCTCAGGTCCCGATTTTATTGAGGATATTACAACAGTTGATGGTAACCTGTACATCGTCTGTCAATCTCCAAATCAGTTAGTAATTATTATATTATAATTTATATCTTTTGTTTGTGAACATGATAAACCTGGGCTCGTTATAAGTTATTAACTACACGTTGAATGCTGTACTGCAATATGCTTTCATTAGAAGTATGTAACCGTTTTTCAGCAGATTTGTACGGTGGCTGTTAGCGGCCATTCAAATGTCATCTAAATCGTCGCCTTATGAAGAAGGCGACAAGTCGACGAAATCAACCCGCCAACACGACAAAATAACCCGACAATCGTCGCTTTCATTTCGTCGACTTGTCGGTCAATTCTGTCGACTTGTCGCGTCAACTTATTCACAACCTGACAAGTCGACAAAATACAATTTGTCGCCTCGGGAGTTAATCTGCGCGCATGTAAGTTATCCAATCAGCAAATGCGCAAACTCGAGTTTGGCTTCCGAGGCGACAAGTCGCCGCACGACAAGTCGATATAATTCTATTTTGTCGACTTGTCGGGTTGTGAATAAGTCGAAGGCGACAATTCGACAGAATTGACCCGACAAGTCGACGAAATGAAGGCCTGACATTCCCTTGTCAGTGGTGCAGGATGGAAGGCCTGACAAGGCCAGCTGTCTAGTCGTTCAGATGGGATGAAAAGATCCATTAGTAGTTGGAATTCGAGAGAGAGGAATGGGGTTTATCGTCCACTCGACACAAACTAGGTCATTTTGGGACTAACATATGGTTCAGTTTTATTTCAAAAATTCGCTTGCGCGTAGGGGTCTTTAGCAGCGAGAGGAAACCGGAGGACTACGAGGTTGGACAGGCGACCCTACTCCTTGTCACGTACAAGCGGAGAATCGAAACCACACCAGTTGACTCAAGGACAGACCTTATGATACAGCGCGCACGTGCTAACCATTCGACCATCCACCCCCTACCCCTAGTTGTAATTCTATATAAGAGTAGGCCGTAGCGCATCTGCCCGGGAAAAAATTCCCTCAAAGTATACTGCATGGCTTATGCCCGTCTTCATTAGCCCGGTCGGGGAAAACAGTAGTCGTTAAACTCCATTTCATTTTAAGTTTGTAATCTGAATCTTGTCTTGAAGAGTACAACCAGAACTTCTAATCCATACTTGTTGAAAATCACAACTATCAACAATAATTCACAGTGCCATTTGTATATTCAGTAGTGATACGTATTAGAAATAGCCTCGCTTTTACGCAAGAAGTGGCGTCTTTTATAGCTATCTGCACACCAAGTTTCAGAAGCAACTGCCAGAGAATTCCCTCTCTAGTTATTGCTGTACTAAGACTAAAAACTTGAGAATTTGAAGGAGTGTGTTCAAAGTCACCGTACAATCAAATCTCTCCTGAATACAGTAAAATAAAGGGAATTTATTATGACTGTCGCTTTAGCGGGGTGACATCTTAAAAAAAAACAGTGTTTGTTAGTGCTGATTTCGAGGAAAGTTTACCCTTGGATGCATCGGGAGCAAAAATCGATTCTCGTATCGATACATTTGGCCATCGCCGAAACTCGCTATTTGTAGCACCATGATCTTTTGTCAGACGCGGAGAGCGGCCTATCCCAAACCGGTCGCCACATCCAACGTATGACCCATACATCTTTTCTTACTACTTATCTTAGTAGCCTTGTGATCGTCTAGTATTTTCACTTGTCTTTGCTTCCCCTTCACGTTGTGTATTTACTTCTTCTTATCTATCTCAATTAGTTAAGACGTTAGTCTTATCAGGAAAACAATGCAACGGCTCGTGTTTACATTTTATATATCATAGCCAGATACATAGATACAAACATAGTACAATAACAATAAAGTCATTCTCTCAAACCATATCCAGATAGACTCTCTGGGGCGAGCCTGCTGCTAGAAATTGCTGCATCTTTTCCCTTCTAGAATCTATCTGTTGTCTGGCGAATTCTCACAGGTATGATAGTTTTGTAGCTTTGGGTTTTGGACCTTCAATTATCTAATTGGTAAAATATGATGTAAATAATTAGAGAGATTGATTAATTGGGCGAAATGACGTCGAAAACCACCCTTATATAGATAGTGGAAATTTACTGGAGAAACTTCCCACGATATATCTGTTATCAACCTAGAATTGAATGTTTACCACATTATGTCTCTTTTTTATGTAAGCATCTGCCACTCATTAGCTAACTTGATTTAAGTACAAATATGTGAATCTACTAACTTGCCAGGGATGTTAATTAATACAATATAATGCTATCATTAATTTAAAGAGCAAAAATTCTACTAAAGTCTTACATATTGGATCGAAAATTCGTTGACTCAAATCATGGATACAAATTCTATAAACTTGTCTGTTTTTACCAATCATTACTTCCTACCTTTACGTATTCGATGGTATTTATTCATTTGTGTGATGAAAATCCATGAATTATACACAAGTCGTATTTCTATCCAGTTTGTTGAAACACAATACTTAAAGTTGCAATTTAATATTTTTACGTTATATTTTTAAAATTTATTAAAATAAAGCCTTAAAAAGGTGGTATCTATAAACTATCCTACCTTGTTAAAGAATAATCCTATTAATCCTATAAATCACTATTGCCAGTTGAGAAATTGGCAAAAATATCATTTTCCTCTTCAAATTCAAACGTTTGAAGATCGCTACTCCATGGTGGAGAACAGAAAACAAGGGCGGTAATTGGGAGGTAATTGTGTTATTATTTCCGGTGTAAATGAGTTTTAAGTGTGAGAATGACAACCTATTGAGCAAAAGACATAGAAATAATTATGTTTCGACTTTCTTAGAAAATATGACATTGTAACTTTAACATGACAGCTGCCCTTCTCTTTTATCTGGTTCTTCGGACAGTTGATTAAATGTATTAAAAATGGTGGAAGTATTGTTCGCCTGCTGTGTGCTCCAAGAGATGATGAAAATATTCTACGTGCGCGGCGATTACCTAATGTTTACATTCCAGCTATCTTGGTTGTTGATGTGCACCAGTCATAATTTGGGACATAAATTTGCGATGAGTACGGCAGTGTTTGAGTGTGATTAGATCTAATCGAACGAAACACTTCGAGGAATGTGGTTACACACCTTCTAATTAATTACCACTGTTAGGGCGACCCACGCAACCAAAATGTTCGCTATTAAAAGGTTAACGTACCACAGCATATGTGCACGCTTCAGAGAGAAAGCGAGGCGGGTGGGTAACGTCCACTCGACGCAAACTATGTCATTTCGGGACTAACATATGGTTCAATTTTATTTCAATAATTCGCCTCCGCGTAGGGGTCATTAGCAGTAGGAGGAAATCAGAGGTCCCGGAGAAAACCCACGAGGTTGGACAGGTGACCCTACTATTTGTCACTTACAACCGGGGAATCGAAACCACGCCAGTTGACTGAATGACAGACCTTATGATACAGCGTGCACGTGCTAACCATTCGGCCATTCGGCTCTTGCATATAATGTATATCTAAGGCTTGTCACGTACAACCGAATAGAAACCACTCCAGTTGGCTCCATGACAGACCTCATGATACAGCGCGCATGTGCTAAACATTCGGTCACGCCCCCCCCCCCCGGTCTAAAGTACCTGTAATTGGCAGATTTAGCTTTCCATAATGTATATTTAAGGCTTGTTATATATTATATTTGAAAATATTTATTTATATTGGGGCACCCTATCACTGTATAAGTTCTATCCACTTTCTACACATACTAAACATTAGTTAGATTAATGATCACTTCTACGATTTAATGGCCTAATGGTAATTACTAAACAGCGAAGTATAGAATTTTTTCAGTGATATCAGGTTAACAGTGATACGGTTCGTATTTCAAAAATTGTGTAATTTAAATTGTGTCTGATCAATACTTGTTGGACAGAAGAGATATGAAATTATTCATCTTGCCATTTGATGTCTAGAAATGGAGTTGTTTCGACGTATTCTTACTTTTTGTATTTTTGATGCAATGTTCATAACAGGTAGGAACAAAGTTATGTTACTTTTTCTACTTAACATACACACACTTGGCTACCCAAACTGATTATTTTATTAGTGTCCCAGTTGTCTTATTGTATTATGCTTAGGAGGCGCTCCCATCTTCAAACCACATACGCTTACACTAGACCACTTGGCCATATCCGATTGTATTGTACATTAAATGTGTTCTACCGTATTTGTTTTTACCTTTCACATTTGAACCAACGTCCAAAAATAAGTTCATCCATTTACATTTTAATTTCAAGGCGTAATATGCTTCTCTTTGTATTTTATCTGAAATATCGCGACTCAAATAAAAAAAATCGAGTGTAGCCTCTTTAATCGCGTGTGTTTATATCTCGTATCATGTTCATTACCGTTTTAGTAATCTGAATATATTTTTCTTTATCTTCTTCCTTGAAATTATTAGTAATGCACTTCCCCCCCCCCCCTTGTCTTGTGTCATCAAATAACACATAGTTCAAAACATTTTACCGCCCTGTACATCAGCTAAATAACCAAGTAGCTAGACGTATAAGCGTCAGCGCTCAACTAACATAACACCACACGGTAACACCATACATTTTCGTCCTCCGTGCATATACCACTGTGGCATAAAAACACGTGTAGTACATTGTTCTGACCTCCATCAGCAAAACTGTACATCCACACCATGTTCCGCCAGATATATTACAACACCATACAATCTAGTATCTTCATTCCCCATAGAACAGTGTACTGTATGGCGTATTAATAAGCCCAGTTAGTGCAGCAAAGTAGGACGTTGAACCCATTTACATTTGCCATATAAAACAATAACACATAAGCCTATGAATTCATCATAAAATATTGCACGATGAGAGACATTTTTCCCATTTTTGTCCACTAATTTCTTACACTACTTGTCACTGCCCCATCCCTTATACATGTACTTTATTTGGTACCAGCCAACACATCTCTATAATAATAAACAATCAGTATAACGCCGATTCTCATATTACATTTTGTAAAAATATTTTTCAGGTGAAGAACTGCTTCTTTTAAATACCGAAGATCAAATATATCGATATAACACAAGGAACAAACAGGCAAAGATAATTGCCGAGAATGGTACACTTCAAAAATATTTATCTTCTGACGCTTTTCAGAACCATTTAATTTCAAAATAAGAAATATTTAATGTTTGCTTCCTAATCATATTAATCACCACCAATTACCTGAAATTGACACCGGTATATATCGGTATAACACAAGGAAAAACAGGCAAGGATAATTGCCGAGAATGGTGGCAGTGTGAAGTTAGCTCGATTTTCGTTTTTCGATATTGGTGAATAACGAAAAACGAGCTACTCGTTTTTCGATATTGGCGAATAACGAAAAACAACTAGCTCGTTTTTCGATATTGGCGAATGTCGAAAAACGAGCCACTCGTTTTTCGATATTCAAACTTGAATCTCAAAAAAGTAGATTTAATGGATGTACATCGACAGAATGTCTCCAAAACACATTTGATTTAATCAGTTTTGTAAAACGAACTAAATATATCGTAATAGAGGATGCCTGAGCAGTGTATTCACATAAAGACTGCTCTTTCTCCTTGTTTTTTGATATTGGCGAATCTCGAAAAACGAGCTACTCGTTTTTCGATATTCAGGCTTGAATGTCAAAAATACAAATTTTAATCATGTATATCTACAGAATGTCTCCAAAACACATTTGATTATATAAATGTTCTAAAACGAACTAAAAATATCATAAATTAGGATGCCTGAGCAGTGGATTCACATAAAACTTTTCTTTTTCCTTGTTTTTTTTATATTGGCGAATCTCGAAAAACGAGCTGATTTAATCAAATGTGCTTTAGAGACATTCTATCGATGTACATCCATTAAATCTACTTTTTTGAGATTCAAGTTTGAATATCGAAAAACGAGTAGCTCATTTTTCGAGATTCGCCAATATCAAAAAACAAGGAGAAATATCAGTTTTATGTGAATCCACTGCTCAGGAATCCTCTTTTATGATATCTTTAGTTCGTTTTAGAAAAAGTATTTAATCAAATGTGTTTTAGAGAAATTCTGTAGATTTATAACCATCAAATCTGCTTTTTTGAGATTCAAGTTTGAATATCGAAAAACGAGTAGCTCGTATTTCGAGATTCGCCAATATCAAAAAATAAGGAGAAAGAGCAGTTTTTATGTGAATACACTGCTCAGGCATCCTCTATTACGATATATTTAGTTCGTTTTACAAAACTGATTTAATCAAATGTGTTTTGGAGACATTCTGTCGATGTACATCCATTAAATCTACTTTTTTGAGATTCAAGTTTGAATATCAAAATTCGCCAATATCAAAAAAACAAGAAGAAAGAGCAGTTTTATGTGAATCCACTGCTCAGGCATCCTAATTTATGATATTTTTAGTTCGTTTTAGAATACTTATATAATCAAATGTGTTTTGGAGACATTCTGTCGATGTACATCCATTAAATCTACTTTTTTGAGATCCAAGTTTGAATATCGAAAAAGGAGTAGCTCGTTTTTCGAGATTCGCCAATATAAAAAAAAACAAGAAGAAATATCAGTTTTATGTGAATCCACTGCTAAGGCATCCTCATTTATGATATCTTTAGTTCGTTTTAGAAAACGTATTTAATCAAACGTGTTTTGGAGAAATTCTGTAGATGTACATCCATTAAATCTGCTTTTTTGAGATTCAAGTTTGAATATCGAAACACGAGTAGATTCGCCAATATCAAAAAACAAGGAGAAATATCAGTTTTATGTGAATCCACTGCTCAGACATCCTCATTAATGATATCTTTAGTTCGTTTTAGAAAACGTATTTAATCAAATGTGTTTTGGAGACATTCTGTAGATATACATCCATCAAATGTGCTTTTTTGAGATTCAAGCCTGAATATCGAAAAACAAGCTACACGTTTTTCGACATTCGCCAATATCAAAAAACAAGTAGAAAGAGTAATTTTTATGTGGATCCACTGCTCAGGCATCCTCATTAATGATATCTTTAGTTCGTTTTACAAAACTGATTTAATCAAATGTGCTTTGGAGACATTCTATCGATGTACATCCATTAAATCTACTTTTTTGAGATTCAAGTTTGAATATCGAAAAACGAATAGCTCGTTTTTCGAGATTCGCCAATATAAAAAAAACAAGGAGAAAGAGCAGTTTTATGTGAATCCACTGCTCAGGCATCCTAATTTATGATATTTTTAGTTCGTTTTAGAATACTTATATAATCAAATGTGTTTTGGAGACATTCTGTAGATATACATGATTAAAATTTGTATTTTTGACATTCAAGCCTGAATATCGAAAAACGAGTAGCTCGTTTTTCGAGATTCGCCCAATATCAAAAAACAAGGAGAAAGAGCAGTTTTTATGTGAATACACTGCTCAGGCATCCTCTATTGCGATATATTTAGTTCGTTTTACAAAACTGATTTAATCAAATGTGTTTTGGAGACATTCTGTCGATGTACTTCCATTAAATCTACTTTTTTGAGATTCAGGTTTGAATATCGAAAAATGAGTGGCTCGTTTTTCGACATTCGCCAATATCGAAAAACGAGCTAGTTGTTTTTCGTTATTCGCCAATATCGAATAACGTGTAGCTCGTTTTTCGTTATTCACCAATATCGAAAAACGAAAATCGAGCTAACTTCACACTGCCGAGAAGGGTACACTTATATAATATTTCTTTTTCTGTCGCTCTTCCGGCCCTTTAATTTGAAAACAAGAAATATTTAATGTTTGCATCTTATCTGGTTATTTCTGTGGTCGTAATCATATAAAACACCTCCAATTTCCTGGAATTTACACGAACTAACTTATATTTACAGCTACCCACATGGCATGTGATTTTGAAAGAAAATATTTATATTACACCCAACTGCATTTAAGCGATGAAGACTTCATAAAGATTTTCCGTGTTGATGATGACGGTGGGGATATAAAAACCATATCGGATACAGGTAGCGGTAACATTAATAAACACATTTTATTTATATGAAATTACGCATAATACTTCAAATATTATTGCCTATCACCATCAGTAGAGAACACTTTCATATTTCTGTTTAATTATCATTCCAAAGTTGTCACCTATCTCCCTTTCACCTCTTCGAACAGCAAATGAAAGCAGAGATTCAGAAAATCGATGAATCGGTAAGAAGATGAATATATGTTCTGATAACGAATGGAGGAAACACGCATATTCAGTATTGTAACAATACTATTTTAACAAGGGCATGTTGATTATTTAATATTCGAACAAACACGTGGTTACCAAAAGATTGACGGGGAATTGGGAAAATCGTTATAATTTAGTAATCCATATGCTGACAACGGCTCAAATTCAAAAATATAGTTCCTATCGGGAACAATTATCCAATATACATTGTTTAAAGCGTTGGTTATAGCATCAATATTCTCTAGTCGACTGTGTATACAAGTGAATAATATTGTTTATTAAAAACACAAATATAAATATGTTTCTTGTTGAATACAAATGTATTTTCTAAATAATTTAATGTGAATTAATAACTCTTGATGTATTAAACAAGAGTTTTGATGCGCACCAACATCTAATTCATTCAAGGTCTTTAATCATCCATCAGACAGAAAATATGGCCGCTGGATGTTCCACAAAGTTTGAACATATTTCACATTTTTCGTAAAAGGCTAATGCCAGAACGGAAGGTCCGATGCACACCAAAATAGTATTCATCCAAGATAAGTTGATGTTATTTTTAAAATTTTAAACTGATTCTGTTGTTTTTCCTATCAGCTGAATTAACAACTGGCCCCATCAGCGTTGACCTAGAAACTGGAAACTTATATTATTATTCAAGCAAAGGCATTGGATTGTATTCTTACACACTGAATTATAGCAAAACGGTTATTTCTAATACAGCTCTTGTGGGTGACTATGTATATGATATTGGATTCCATGGAACGGGCTCCAATAAAAGGTAATATTATTTTGTGTAATTATAACCGCAACTTGTAAAGCGTAACATGATTGTTATACTTAGTACACAGCATCTAAGGCAAAGCAACCTTATAATAGCTGAACGCGCATCAAGAGGACCACACTGTCCGCACACAAGCCCGATAAGATAAATATGTGAATAAGACAAGCTGCACATATTTATCAAGAAATAAACAACAAATATAAAATCAGGTGAATAGATCAGAGGGATAGACGTCAGCATCTCCTGTGATGTACAGTCCAGGGTCTCTAATAATACCAGCTTTACTCAAAATGACTGGTTTACAACAAACGGCATAATAGAAATAATGCTACCTCGATTTTGATTTATGTAACTGACAATGACATACAATTTCCTTTAATCAACTATAGAATCATGTTCATTCTATTATAGAATGTACTACTAGTCGACATTAAACAGCTATAAAATCTATTTTTAGTCTATTACATAGTGTACTGGTCGACGTTTTACATCTATAGCATCTATTTTAATCTATTATATAGTGTACTTTAAAAAGCTATATAATATATTGTTATTTTATTAGATAGTGTACTGGTCGACTTTAAACAGCTATAGAATCATGGTGTACTGGTCGACGTTATACATCTATAGCATCTATTATATAGTGTACTTTAAACAGCTATAGAATCTATTGTTATTTTTTTAAATAGTGTACTGGTCGACTTTAAACAGCTATAGAATCATAGTGTACTGGTCGACGTTACACATCTATAGCATCTATTATAATCTATTATATAGTGTACTTTAAACAGCTATAGAATCTATTGTTATTTTATTAAATAGTGTGTTTGATCATAAGATCTGGCATTGAGTGAAGTGATGCGGTGTCGATTCCCCGCTACCACCCACAGCTAAAGACGCCTACGCGGAAACAAATGATTGAAATTAAAATTTGAGCCTAGAGTTCCTCCCGATATGACCTAGTTTGTGGACGTTAAACCCCGTTGCTTTCTTTCTTTATTACAGAGTGTATTGGTCTACTGAATATAAGCTTTATAGGTCACAACCGGGCACATCTGAACTTATCAATTCAGGAAGAGACTGTGTGCTATTTAGTATTTTAGGTAAGGTTTGAATATTTGTAGGTTAGAATATGTGTAGCTTGTGGTTTGTTGTTCTTTGTTCGGTATTCACCACTAGATATAATAATGGCGCTTTTTGGGATTACACGGGAATGGTTTTTTTATGAGCCTATTTATAGCAATTCCACGTCTTTTGAAATAGATTCTAACTGAATATCCAGCTATTTCATATTGTCGAATAACGACACAAGCTAACTTCACATCGCCGTCTAGCAGTCAGATAACCAATAACACGAGGTCTGTGGTACAGTAACCAGCGCTGGCCATATATACTCAGCCAAATTAAAAACTTGACACTCGGGATTTTTGGGACTAGATTTTTAATATTTGGTTTAAGGCAACTATTTTAGTGTTATGTTGTGCACAGACGACCTTGACATCAACAAAAAGCAAGAATATGTCTCGCCGAAAGTCCTTGACATTGATAACGTTCGTGATGTCACAGTACCCCCCAAAATGAAATTCACAGACTTGGAGAACAATCGGAATAAAGTGTTTAGTAACGGTTGTGGCCTCCTCTAGCGTCTCGTACTGCCACACAACGTCTTCTCATGGATCTCAGAACATTAGTAAACACTACCCGAGGAAGACGTCGCCACTGCTCAGCAAGAGCATGTTGAAGGTCCTGCAACGTCAGTGGTGGATTCACTTGCTGACGAACACGTCGACCCATTTCGTCCCAGATAGGATTAAAGTCAGGGCTAAGCGAAGTCCAATTCAGGACTTGGACACCGGCATTTCTTTAAAAATTCTGGGTAGTAATTGCTGTATGGGGTCGAAGATTGTCTTGTTGAAACGTTAGTCCAGGCCCATGTCTCTGCATAAACGGAAGAAGAACAGGTTGCAAAATCTGATCCCTGTACTGGACAGCATTTAAGTTCCCTTGGACAACAACAAGAGGAGAACGTCCATGTGCACAAAAAGAACCCTAAACCATGACGCTACCGCCACCAAATCGGTCAACTTCTCTGACGCATACTTGAGCGTAACGTTCACCTCGTCTGCGGTACACTCGGACCCTGCCATCGGCAAATCTCAAAGTGAATCGAGATTCGTCACTAAAGACAACCGAATTCCACTGTCTTTGAGTAAATCTTATGTGTCTTGTGGCCCACACACGTCGGTTACGGCGATGAAGAGGTGTCAATATTGGTCCATTATAGGGCCTCCGAGCTCGAAGACCAGAAGCCTTCAAGCGATTTCGAACAGTTTGTGCAGTTACCCTTCCACCAAACATCTCTCTACTTGTGGAGGTTGCAGTGACAAATCTGTTTCTAAGATGACGTAATCGCATTGCTTGATCTTCCTGGAGTGAATTCACACGTGGCGCTCCCGCCCTTAGGCGGTCGGCAATAGTTCCAGTTTGAAGCACTCTCATTCTAAGATTAATTATTGTCTGGCGTGAACAATTAAAGGCTCTTGCAACAGTGACCACAGACTGACCAGCATAGAGCCTACCTTTAGCACGTAGACGTTCTACATTTGAAAGGCGCGGCATTTTGTAACAAAGATTAAAATAAAAATTTTAATTTGTTTTTCCAGTTCAAGTTACGTGTGCGTGTTCAGTTGAAGCAAACTTGCATCGATTGACCTCACGAGTTTGTGTTTGCACGTGTTTTTCAGGTTTTTCATCTTTATATGCTCAAAAGTCACGTGATCCACGTGACTTTACAATTTTATGAAATCAAAGGCTTCTTACTACTTTCTATCGTTAGAAATACTTTAAAATTTATTTGACTTACAAGAAAAAAAAAATTGTTGAAATTCATCAGTGTCAAGTTTTTATTTGGCTGAGTATATTTGCTTGGACATTAGTCCAGCTAGTTGGCTTGGATCCGTAGATTTGTAATGTTTGTTTTCCCTTGGAATCCTTTTAATACCATTATCCTTCTGCAAATAGTTTACGTTTAAACCAAGTCATGCCAATACCAATCATTTGACATGATACAAACATTTGACATGATACCAATCATTTGACGTGATACCAATCATTTGACGTGATATAAATCACTTGCTACGATACAAATCATTTGACACACCCACCAATCATTTGACATGAGACCAATTAATCATATACGCGATATCAAACGTTTGGCATGATACCAATCATGTGAGGTGATATCAATCATTTGTGATACGATACCAATCATGTGAGGTGATACAATCCGTTTCACGTAATACCGACATAACAATAACAATAATACTGTATTTGAGTTTCCCTTTAAGTCACACAATACATTGATCAGAAGCACATCGTTGGCGTATTGTTATTTCTATCGGTTTAATATTGTAAAATGTATTATTGTTTTGTTTGGTCGTTTACGGACCTCGCATACTTTGAACTCTTAAATTTCTAAATAACTTGCACAACAATTTGTTGATTGTTTAATTAACAGAAAATGGTATTGTGTGTTATCAACTTTTGGGTCGCGATCTTCATGTAGCAAACCTGAATGGTGTGAAGACTGAATCGCTACCGAATATGACAATCACATCGTCAATACTTAAAAATATTAGTTGTTCGGGTCCCGATTTTATTGAGGATATTACAACAGTTGATGGTCACCTGTACATCGTCTGTCAATCTCCAACTCAGTTAGTAATTATTATATTATAATTTATAACTATTCTTTGTGGACATGCATTGTAATTTATCTGCATGTATTCTTATAAGTTTTACTAACATAAAGAAATGTACGTATTAAATTTAACTTAATTATGTAAACTCTTAACCATTGTTATACAATATGAATGAAATGTGGTTAAACATCCTACTGTCCTGGGGGGTCATGGTGGCTAAGTGGGTAAAACTCTGGCTCGCTAGTCTGGAGGTCAAATGTTCGATCCCTGCATTGGCCGAGAAAAGTTCATCCCGATTTTTCGTCGTGCCCCCCTCCCCTTGTCAGTGATGCAGGACGGAGGATCTGACAAGGACAGCTACCTATTCGTTCGGATTGGCCGAAAAACCGAGGTCCCGTGATTTAAATTTCCGGCCTGTACAGAACGAGGAGAAGGGTCGAACGTCCAGTCTCATGGGTTTTCTCCAGTTCCTCGAGTTTCATCTTATAGCTAAAGACCCCCTACGCGCACCCGAGTTATTGAAATAAAATTGAAACATGTTAATCCCAAAATGACTTTATTTGTGTCGAGCGGACGTTAAACCCCACCACCCTATCTTCATCTACACTGTTTATATATGACAGTCATCTATACAAATCATTATTTAACTTTACAGGGTTTTAAAAGTGGATTTAAAAACCGGCATCAGAAAGGTTTTGATTCCTAAGAGGACCCCAGCTCTAAAAGATCAGACATGGCTATATATATGTGTATTACCCCGCGTTAAAGTTGTATTGACCGACCAGAAAGTTGTACCACCTACACAGACAGGTGAGTGTGGGTTTTTAATCTAGTATTCTAAATTATGTTAACACAACCGGAAAGTTATCACAGATAACAAATTACCTAAGAAATCCCTCTCCACCCCCACCCCCCCCCCCCCAAAAAAAAACCCAAAACAAACGTGTTTACGGTTATAATCTTCTAGAGGCATTTAGTAACTGGAAAGATCAATACACAAAAACACATATTTATGGAAAACAGCTACTTATTTATTTGGGCGACGTTTCAGACGTTAAACCCCAATAAATTTCATGTCTTAATAATCACTTTACTGTATTTCAAAGAACATGATCAGGGTTTTAGAATGCCAATATTGATAGTTAGTTCAGTTAGTGTTATCTAATCTTCTGGAGGTCGGGTGTTCGATCCCTGCATTGGCCGAGAAAGTTCATCAGAATTTTCCGACGTGGTTTCTCCTTGTCAGTGGTGCAGAACGGAGGGCCTGACAAGGACAGTTGTCTAGTCCTTCGGATGAGACGAAAAACCGAGGTCCCGTGTATATATTGGAATGCACGTAAAAGATCCCCTGGCAGTTGGAATTGGATATAAGAGTAGGCGATAGTGCCGCTGCCCGGGCAAAATTTCCCTCATAGCACACTGTATGGTGTATGCCCGTCTTCATTAGTCCAGTATAGGAGCAGAACAGTAGGACGTTAAACCCCATTTCATTTTATTTCATTGTTATCTAATCTTACCACATATGTCCACCTCCATTAGTCCAGTGGAGCAGAATGTTACGATGTCATGTCAATCACGCACAATGGTTAAATATTAAATGGTTTAATATATTATATTAATGTAATTTGTATTCTATTTTTCAGTAACAACACTTCCTGTTTCTACAATTTTGATGGTATCTGGAGGAGTAGCTATTGGCCTAGTCATGATTGTAAGCCTGATAGCTACAATTAGAACGTGTAAGAAGACAGTCGGAAGTGTGCCAACACTACCAGATGAACCAGAATATTCCAGTTATAATTCCAGCAGCCTGGTGGATGTTCATGTGTATAACACAATAGATTCAAAAAAATCCACAGAAGTATACACAGTTGATGATCATATATACACTGAAATTTTGTAACTAATATATAATGTTACTCCCGAGCTTGATATTTGTGTGAGATAAATATAAATATTTAACTGATATAAAGACTGATGGATTATCAATCATAGTAAAACAAAATATTTTAGGTATCAACAGTTAAGATATGAATCATAAGGCATTTTTGAAACCCCATCAAAATCTGCAAATAGCTTAATTGTCATTTCCATGTAGAATCGTCTTTTGAAGGGGTTGGTAAAGTACCTAGATTTGTTTTCAGATCTAGATTACTAAAATCTTCAACACAATATCATCAGTAAGAAATACAAAGCTTGCCCTGAGTGCAGAACAGATTAGGCACTTGTAACCAGCAAAATCTTTGAAGGAGGGGCTCCACAAGACTCTTGTTTCCGATAATGTAATATTTTTAGTTTCTTGCCAAATGATGAATGTTGCCACTGCCTCACTTCCGTTCTATTTGCAGCATAGTAGCTGGCAACGTATAAAATTCTCCCTAGACAATTATTAACTAGTTTCCCACAAATGTTAAGGATATGGTCATGGCGTCCCGAAATACCCCTTGTATCCGCACAAGAGTTAAAATATGTCCATATGGATTGGTATTGTATACATTGTTTAAGTTTAAATTTAGTACACTCATATTGTACATATTGTTCCATTGTATAACATATATTAGATATTTATACGCCAACCGTTTTATATGGGCGTATTATATTATGTTACGTGACGTAACTTCCAGGATTTTGGTCCCTGGATGTATGAAAAATTCCGTGTTTAACCTCTGGACCCAGTAGAAGTCGCAACATTTATTTCATCTTTAAAAAACTGTTTAAATATATCACCGTTCCACCATAATCACGGATGAGTTCGCATTGCGTAAAAATCGGACCGTAACTTCTCGTCACAATGGCCTCTCCCCTTTACGCAAATAGATGCAATGCATATAATATATTTACGAATGTATTGTTGTGGACCCTATAGAGGCCATAGAGTTTGGCCGATTTTGATGAAACTTAAATTATTGTTTTAAGCATCGACAGATCTCGAACGAGTTAGGTTTTGGCATGCATCGACCTTTCCATTCCAGAGTGATGCCCCCTTGCCAGAAAACCTTGTGAATAAAATAACCGCCATAGTATCTAATACACTTCTGTTCATATTTAGTTTGAAGCATTCAGTTCATGCGATGATGAACCCTACCGATAATCAGCGTTCCGCGATCTTTCGTTCAAGAGTTACGTCCCCAAATCTGACAACTTTGTGAATGCAATAAAGGCCTCAGATCTTTTCCAAAATTGGTGTGAAGCATTGTGGTCACGACATAACGACCCCTAGCCATATTTAGTTTTCCGCAACCTCCCGTCTGCACTCCCTTTGCCGACATTTTTTTCAGTTATTTCAAATTGATTCCGTGGCATGAAGGGACGAAGACATTATCGGTATTTATCGAACCGTGGGATTCCATTACCCACATTTTCAGAAAATTCTGTGTTCGCGATGGGAGCTACAGTTTTCGGCAGTTGTGTCTTTATGGCGAAGCATTGGGATAATGGGAGGGCCAGCCCTAACGATTTTTTCGTTCATTGTTCCTACATATATAACATATTAACACACGTGTTTACATGTTCTCTCTTGGTGACCTATGCAACCACAGACAATTGTAACTATAGACAATTAAAACCACAGTGGTACTTTGTAACCATATATAAATTGTTGTATTGTGTCCATCTCTCTGTACAACTATTTCGGTCGAGTTCCCGGCACTTTGACTGAACACCGGGCCTTTTTGGAGTTAATATCAATAGACATTGAATTTTTCCATGATGATGCCAACTCTCAGCGAATCCCTGGACCCCTGGATCGGATACCAATTCCTTCTCGGATCTCGGGATAAAAATTTCCCTGATGTTTGAAAGCCCTAGTAAATAGCTGAAATAAAGTAGATTTGAAAAAGTAATACATGACTTTAAATGTGTTACTCTTTGTGACCAAATTATTTTAGCGAATGATTATTACCTAAAAGCAGAGCATATTTTTACATTTATCAATTTATTTTATTAACAATTCACATCTCTTGCAGGTACTGGTTATACATTAGTCAGGGCATGTAAACCGTAGCTGTCATATTCCTTTAACCATATTTGTCATGCGGGGCAAGTATGATCCAGACAGTGACAATTTTAAGGAATATAGATATGGGATAATGTAATCAGTGTAATCAAGACGTATTGATATATTTCACAGATGTGTATTCATGTTATTGTTCCAATTAATCAAAGGACATTATCATGCTATACATATGATAACATTCACATGCTATTACTCATGTTACGAGCACCTACTACAAATGAATGGCTAGGCCAGTGATTCTCAACCTTTTTTTGCCAACGGTACACCTTGGAATACATGAAAAAATAGCGGCACACATGGCTAAATATCTATGAAAAATATTTGAATTTTGGAAAATAAAAACATGGCAAGTCATATACGGCATAGAAATGAAATGAAATGAAATGGGGTTTAACGTCCTACTGTTCTGCTCCTAACCTGGGCTAATGAAGACGGGCATACGCCATACAGTGTGCTATGAGGGAAATTTTGCCCGGGCAGCGGCACTATCGCCTACTCTTATATCGAATTCCAACTGCCAAGGGATCATTTACGTGCATTCCAATGTATACACGGGACCTCGGTTTTTCGTATCATCCGAAGGACTAGACAGCTGTCCTTGTCAGGCCCTCCGTCCTGCATCACTGACAAGGGGGAACCACGCCGGAAAATCTGGATGAATTTTCTCGGCCAATGCAGGGATCGAACACCCGACCTCCAGGCCAGCGAGCCAGCGCCTTACCCACTTAGGCACGTGATCCCATATGATTTATAATCATTCGCGTGAGTGTCAATACTATAATTAATATACTTAATAAATGTATAGGCATCGATGTGGGCTGTTCTCTTTGGTGTGAACTGTCCTTGGTATAAAGTCGAAATTATAACGACGGCTGGTGGCGATATTAATTATAGAATCAGAGATGCTGTTATTGATAATCGTGAAAACATATCACATTCAGATTGTACAAGGTATGTAGAATACAGATAGAAGCCATACAATTATAAAATTTCAATTTCGCCAGCCAATACGTCGACAAAATTTGTGTATTGAAGAAGCGATATTGCGACGATATGTGATCAAGCCCGTAACTCGGGCGGGCGCAGGGGGTCGGGGTCGAGGGGGGGGGGGGGGGGGGGGCGAAGGCCCCCTGTGAAAAAATTTCGGACCAATAAAAAAAATAGATATACATTGTCCATCAAGATAACAGCACCCCTGAGAACACCACCCGCCCCCCCCCCCTCGTTGCTCTGAGCTAGTTACGGCCCTGTATGTGATGAATTTCATATAACATATTATTTATAATTAGATTCATCAAGGTACCAGAAATTCAATTACTGACATGATGAGATAAAGGGTGGAATGCTTGAAAACAACTAAACCAAATCGCTTTACAAGAATATTATAGAATATAGACGAATATAGAGAGAAATGGGGTTTAATATCCACTCGACACAAACCGAGGGAGTGACATATGGCTCAATTGTATTTCAACAATTCGCTTGTGCGTATGTTTTTTAGCTGTGGGTGGGAAACCGGGGAAAATCCACGAGGATGGACAGGCTACCACACCCCTTGTCACGTACAAGCGGGGGTCAAAAGTACGTAAACGGACACGCGTTAACAATTAGATTTAGAAAGTTGAAAAAGAGAAAGATAAAATAAAAATGGTTTTCAGATATTTCAGTGGATAAAAACTGTAATTACATGATATAATGTGTAGCACTCTTACTTCAACTATACCGTAGGAAAGGATTTGAGTGTGTCTTAAAGTTGGGCTGGAACATCTCCGAATATTCATAGTTAAAGTGATAACCCGTTAGATTTTCATATATGCTTCGATTGCCAACAGCTGTGAGTTTCCAGCCGTCTTAGTACTTTCCCAGTATTGTCATCCAGGTGATTGGTGATTTTAAATATACTCTAAAGATATTTGAGGCTTTTATAGGCCTGTATGTAAATCTCCTCTGATCTGAAGAAACCTAGCAAGTCAAATTTGGACTTAGTATTTAATATAGGTTTTTCTCCATCACCAAAATGGCTTCTAATTATCGTCATCTAATAAGCGAAAATAAAATTTGTTTCATATTCAGTAGCTTAATCTTGAAACAAAACAGTTTTCCTTTGTTCTCTCAAATTTGCATTCTACATACTTACGAGGTTTTTTCTGGTAGATTTGCATTCTATGGTAATTTTCACATTTATCTTTAAGGTGGGTTAAAAATCCCATCATTTGTGGCCAAGGCTGGTTTTTAAATCCCTTTATTTTGGTCCAAGGTGGGATTATTATTTCCTTGATTTGTTTTGTTATATTGTTATTGCCTTATAAAAACTTGTTGTTTTTCCTCGCAGGAAAACGTATATCCCATCATCAGTAGAGGGAAAGTAACGTACATAACATCGTCAGTAGAGATTAATTAACGTTTATAACATCATTAATAGAGAGTAGGTAACCTATATAACATCATCAGTAGACAATAAGTAACATATATAACATCATATCATTATACAGTAGGTAACAAACATAACATTATGAGTGGACAATCAATAAGTAACATATATACCGTCATTCGTAGACATAAAGTAACACGTATAACATCATTAGTACACAATAAGTAATACATATCATCATCAATATATAACAGTAATATATAAAATCATCAGTACACATTAACAAATATAACACTGTCAATACACAGTAAGTAACAACATCATCAGTAGACATTAAGTGGGGGGTGGGCACGGTGGCTAAGTGGGTAAGACGCTGGCTCGCTAGTCTGGAGGTCGTGTGTTCGATCCCTGCATTAGCCGAGAAAGTTCATCCAGATTTTCCGGCGTGATTCCCCCTTGTCAGTGATGCAGGACGGAGGGCCTGACAAGGACAACTATCTGGTCGTTCAGATGGGACGAAAAACAGAGGTCCCGTGTACACATTGGCTTGCACGTAAAAGATCCCTTGACAGTTGGAATTCGATACAGGAGTAGGCCGTAGTGCCGCTGTCCGGGCGAAATTTCCCTTATAGCCCACTATATGGCGTATGCCCGTCTTCATTAGCCCAGCAGAACGGTAGGACATTAAATACCACATATAACTTCATCAGTAGACAGCAAGTAACATTACAACATCATCCGTAAGTAACAGATATAACATCTTTAGTAGATATTTGCCGCCAAATTTACAATTTTTTTTTATTATTTATGAATATTTTTTGATGGTATGTTACACAGGATTAAAAAATATGAAAACGTTTGTCCCAGTAACTTGCGCTATCCGCCATTGGCTAATTCAGTTTTTCGGTCCTAGTTTAGTTATTCATTGTTAGATTTGTATAAAACAAAGTTCATATGCTCCGTGTTCTCAAAAGTCATTTTTACCGATAAAGTGCCCCGTCGGCACCGGAAGTGACGTAATTTTACTAAAAACTACAATTTTGATTTTTCATTATAACTTTTGGAAAGCAAATATTAGTTTTTTTGTTTTTTTTTTTAAAATCTAATATAACTAAAAGAGTGTACCCAGTAAAAAGGCACAGAATAATGAGCTCAGTTTTTTAAATTTCGATTTCATTTTCGGACCATTTCGGTTAAAAGGTAAAAAAGGGTGTACTATTAAGCTATTTACAAACCTTCCATAGGAAAGAAATATATGTCAAAATTAGTTTGTAATATCAGCAGTTGATTAGAAATAGGCAATTTTGCATTAGTCACTTTTCACATTATTTTCATTAAAGTGATTTTATTTGTTACATACAGCAAATATGCGTCATATGAAATTTATTGCAATTTAAAATTGACACCGGAACTGATTTCGTTTTGTCAAAAACTATATTTTTAACCTTTAAAAATCAATATTTTTTTCAAGTGAGCATTATTCAGTCCTCACGTTTAAGGGGAGCTTTCGCTCCTGCTCCTCTCGACGCACGTTGGCTTTCCTTCGAATGAGTCATTAAAGTCTCCTGCAAATTAGCTAAATCGCTCTCCTAAATATTGAGATTAATAAACTACTTTCAGTTTTTGTTTACTTTTAAACTGCATATATTCAAGGTATCAGGAGCTTTTTATGGCCCCCGCACAATTTTATAAACATGATGGTCTGATTATTTGCTACGTTATGAAAATTTTAACTTTTAGTTTAGATCAGCAAGTAAATAGAATGAATACGGTCATATATGTATATCAGAAAATGCGGAGAAATAGACGATTTTCTACAAATCACTTTTCGGGGTTTTTGGTCCATTAAAGTGTAAATTATTATTCGAATTTCATAAAAACTTTCACCATCTAATGTCTAATGTTATGTATGATTTTATAAAACTATTTAAATAGTTTCATTATCACCGGAAGTAGTATCATTTTGACCAAAACTATATTTTTAGCCTCCAAAACAAATATTTTGTTGAAGTAAGATATTCAATGGACATATAGCATTAATCAATGCGATCATATATATATCAAAAAAGTGTTTCTAATATCTTCCAGATCGCTTTTTATGATTTTTCGCTTTGTATTAAGGATTTATAAAGAGTTAATTGTGTTTAAGTTTTAATCATTTTTTTCTTTCATTCAAAGGAAACGCAAAGTGTTAATCAAATTTAAATATTTTGTTGATAATGGATGTGGTGTCACTGTGTCGAGTCTTTGTTGATTGCAGTTTATTTAATAATAATATTAATAATAATAATAATTGATTTATATAGCGCCAACAATTCAACTCAGCGAGCTGCTCTCGGGCGCTTTACATAAGTACAACTAATATAAAATTACAACAATCACAACACATTAATCCTTACAAAAAGACATAAACAAAAAACGGAGAACATTATTTAGTGCACATGGTAAAAGTCTGACACAAACACCGCTAGAACCGTATTCAATCAGTTGTATATTTGATTACTTTTTAAAACCTTTAATAGGATTTGCGCTTTTGGTTTCGTTTGATATTGAATTCCATAACTTCGGGGCACCGAATGCGAAAAATCTATGTTATTTTATAACATAAGTGCAAAGCGCGTGTGGAAATCTGTTCCATGGCTCCATTGGTATGGGGTTTGACGTCAGTTCAAGGGTAATTTGGCACCGGTGAAACTCGTCATTACTGCATAGTAGTTCTAGTTCTCTTCTTATATTTTAAGTCATAATGAAAGTTTAATGGGGTCATTCTATAAATGTAGCTGAGCAAATTAAATCAGGTTGGTAGCAACGCAGGGTGTCTCGCCCCCTTATCTTTGCCCTTACCCTATCTATTTGTAGCATAGTAAGTAGTTGAGATATCCCCCCCCCACACACACACCCCTGAAGACAATCACCTCCCAACTTTGTAAAATATGAAAAAGCATTAGAGTAATAGCGATATATGTACTAGCAATTCGACCGGGATTTAACTATAAATAAAAGCAGGTGATCGATCATGTAATAGCCCAGACATGTTGAAGATGACCGTAAAATATGAGAGAGAGAGAGAGAGAGAGAGAGAGAGAGAGAGAGGGAGAGAGAGGGTACTCGACACAAACTAGGTCATTTCCGGACTAAGATATGGTTCAATTTCATTTCAATAATTCGCGTGCGCGTAGGGGTCATATTATAATCGAAACATTTATTCATATTACATGTATTACGAAAATATAATCTACTAGAAGTAGTTCTTTAATTAAAATGCTTTCATTATTATGTCTCTGCCAATTTCTTCATTTGATCGAGGTCCAACCTAAAACTATGGCTGTTTTCTGTCTCCGTGGAATTAACAGCACCGTGACGCTTATAAAATTTGATACCTGTTTTATTCGAGTCTAAAGTTTGCCATAGTAGATTCTGACATCCCTCCTTCAAACTTAACTGGGGATATAAAAAACAGAAAGTCAAATGAAATGGGGTTTAACGTTCTGTTCTGCTCATACTGGACTAACGAAGACGGACATACACCATAAAGTGTGCTATGAGGTAAATTGTGCCCGGACAGCGACACCACTGCCTTACTTACATCGAATTAAAGAGTTTGTTTAACGTGCACTCGAGCCCTCAGCTTTTGCATCCCGTGTCCCTTACCAGACTACCCATACTGCACCTCTGACAAGGGTTAACCATGCCGGAGAACTCCCGATGACCTTTATCGAACAACACCTGGATCAAACCAGGGACCTATCAATCGAACGGTACTAATTGAAATAAGACAGTATCTGATTTAACAATAAAATGGAAGTGATAAATTCAAATTAACAATAACATCATTGGCGCTTTGAGCAACAGTCAGTAATTATGAAAGTGTACTGCAGTAGCTCAGTGAGTAAGACGCTGGCTCACTAACCAGCAGGTCTCAGTTTCGCTCTACCTATTGTTGATCGAGAAGGTTCGTCGAGATTTTCCGGACCAAAACCCTGGCGTGCACTTAAGAGAACTCTTGACAGATGGAATTCGAAATAATAGTAGGCCATAGTGCCGCGACCCGGGCAGTATATCCGTCATAGCACAATGTATGGTGTATGCCCGTCTTCATTAGCCCAGTGACCCAGTCGGTGCAGAACAGCAGGACGTTAAATCCCATTTCAGTTTTTAATTATGGAAGCCGCCACTAACATGCATGCTGTCTAATTCAAACACAGTAACGGTTATCGTTGTCTGCGAGACTTAAGGCCATGAATCAGATAAAAATCAAAATCTTTTCATTGACACGTTTATGAAATTAAATTATTGCATATACTATTTCGGGAGTTGGGTGGCCGAATGGTTAAGACAAACCTCTAACTTAAATATTTCGCGCCTAACATGTGGTTGATTTTTTGTCCTTAATCCGCTGGCAGGCAGCTAGGGGTCTTAGCAGCTAGGGGTCTTTAGCAGGTGGATGGGGTCTTTAGCAGGTGGATGGTAACTGGAGAACCAGCTCTAGGAGAACTTCCAGGAAGTTAATCCTTGTCATGACGATATCTGACTCACTGAGGCGCACGTGTGCGACTACTCCCACAGTAAAATTATATAATAAATGACCGATTTTACCTGAGCTAATCGTTGGAAGAGAGCTGTTCCAATACCTCTACCTCGCGCATGCTCAGAAACATATAAATCTTCCATATACATACACTTGCCTGTTACTGAACTATAGGACGGAAAAAACAAGGTATGGCCAATTATCTCCCCTGTAATACAAAAAACATTGCAAGGTCGATTATCTCCCTTGAAATAACAATGAACACACGCGACCAAATACGGCATCAAATGGAACGATTCAAAACACTTTCAATGTGTCAGATTTTGATTTGATAAATCATTACTAAGAAATAGCCGTTTAAAGAGTAACTGTCAGTCGTTGATGTTGTTGAGAAGGCGCATACGCTCAAACCAGGGAACGAAATCTAAACTGCAATTCAGAGGTGACCGGACAGCTAGAGGTCGAAGCGCAGCACTCTAGACCACTAGCCCCCTAGCCCCCCCTCCCCCCTCCCCACTAACTGTCAGTAACATTAACTTCAAGTACGCCTTCTACATGTGACGTCACATCATACGGCGTCGATTATTGAGACGATGACGCGTGAATTGTTTACATCAGACGCGGTAACGTAAACTGGTCCGAGCAGAATTGTTTCTTTTACTCTATTTATATACGTATTTACACTAAATAGGAAAGATGTTTTTATCCAGACATGCTTCAAACATGGCTGTTTATGATAAAAGATGCATTATGTAAGATTCCGAAACAGAGTTGACAGTTCTCGCTATACCAATCCCAAATAGGTAAGGAAAAGGGAATATGTAAAAAAAAAAATATCAGCCACATTACGTCATTTTGATTGGAGTTATAGTCCTTTGAATAACAATGCAGTCATTCTACCGTTGTTAGGGAAATAAACCAAGCGCAGATTAACTTTTTTTTAAAAAATTAAATCATTAACTGTAGATTAACTATTTTTTTTAAAATTAAATCATTAACTGTAGGCCAGTATCTAGCGGGAGGGGGCGCCCCATAAAGCAGCGTGACAATAGTTGGGCGCCCACGACGAGATTGGCGGGGAGCCCAACCAATGCCAGTTGGTTTTATGGGCGCCTCGCCAATCATGTCTTCATATTTGAGGCGCCCCTCCCCAACAAATGGTGAGGCGCCTCATAATGAATCACACGATTAACACCACAACTTGATTGATGGGGCGCCCAAAACGGCATGGTCTGTGGTGTGCTTTATCCAGGAGGGCGCACATAATGACATGATTGGTGGGGCGCCTTATAATGACATGAGACACCCCACCAATAATGTGTAGTAATATGGATGGCGGAATTTGTGCTAAAGGGCGCATGTATAATAATATTATGGCCTTGATTAATTATTCTCCATTGTCAAAATATTAGCTATGGTATGGATTTATCTGAAACTCAAATTAAATTGTTTATGAAATATTGTGATAATAACAAGAAAACGGGGTCAAATGCCAAGGATAAATTCTAAGTCTAAAAGCATGTGATCGGAAAGTGACCATTCCATATTTGGCATAAGTGACCAATCACATGATTAATTACATCATAATTAGCTAATGGAATAGTTAATGGCCGTGAATCTCAGAGTATATAATTAATAAAATGTGCGTTCTAGGGTAGACATCGTTAGAAGAGACCGTTGAGGTCCAAGTGTCAACATCTGGGTTGAGGGATATAGAGAATGACTTTATTATAATCTATGCTTGTATCCTATCTATCCAGCTTAAAAAAATTTGTAGAAACCGTACTTTTGTTCCTGATGATACTACGCAAACTACCCTTGCAGGATTCCCTCGGGTTTATAAGACTGACTCACGGTTCCTGCTACCAATTATACTATTCAAAAAAAGTAGGGGATGTTTGATTTTGGGGGCATAATACTAAAATATGCAAATGACTACGAAAAAAGTCACTATAGAACCTAACAGAAGAAACATTTCCAGTTACATGTGACGCCCAAACGCACCAATAGCTACCGCATGGAATGCAGGTGATGCTTGGGATCATCATGGGGGTCCAACCCAAGATTTGCACGACTCTGACTTTGAATGTTACAGTCATTGTGGCATTGAATTCCAGGGTGGAAACATCAGTTTAATTGCTTTAGTGACCAGAAAACAAATTTTGATATGCGTCGGCTTACCCAAAATGAAAGGTTACGTGCCCTTGGCATGCTACAGATCGGCACAACACAGGCGGTTGTGGCGCGGACGATGAATGTTTCTCAGTCTGTCATAAGCAGGCTATGGTCCAGATACCGTGATACACAATCTGTACAGGACAGACCACGCTCAGGTCGACCAAGGGCGACAACTCAAGCCCAGGATCGATTTATCCGTACCTTGGCCTTGAGAAATCGTGTCATCACAGCAAATCAGATCAGCGCTCGTCTTCAAACAGACACTGGTGTGAGAGTGAGTGGCCAGAAGATTCGGAATCGACTGCATAGGGGTCACCTTCGCGCCCGACGTCCTCGCGTGATCCCTTGTTTGAGAGATCATCACATTCAGGCAAGACGTCGTTGGTGTAGGGATCGTCAACACTGGGATAATCGACGCTGGAGCAATGTGATGTTTTCAGATGAGTCAAGGTTCACTGTTGATTTTTTGGACAGACGTAGGAGGGTGTGGCGTCGTCGAAACGAGCGCTTCCAAGACGTTAACGTCATCAGACATGATCGATTTAGGGGTGGTTCTGTTATGGTGTGGGGAGGCATCACTGTTGCTGGAAGAACGGCTTTACATGTTGTTGCAGGGCGTGTTACAGGCCAGTACTACCGGGACAACATCTTGGCAGTCCATGTTGTGCCGTTCGCACGACGTCATGGCCGCCGTTTCATCTTCCAGGATGACAACGCAAGATGTCACAGGGCCAGGATCGTTACAGGTTACCTCCAACAACAGAACATCACCACATTACCTTGGCCAGCACTGAGTCCCGACCTCTCCCCCATCGAGCATGTCTGGGATATGCTTGGACAGAGGTTACGTCAACGTCAACAACGTCCTGCCAATGTCCAAGAACTTGCTGCTGCGTTGCAACAGGAATGGGACAATCTGAACCAAAATGACCTTAGACGTCTCATTAGGAGTATGCCACGTCGGATCAATGCTTGTTTGGCAAACAGAGGAGGATTTACCCGTTACTGACTTGGTTGTGATGCTGTGGTAACTTTGCTGTTTGACCCCGGGTATCATTTTACCCTTATAATGGTCAGTCTGTGCCTTACTTAGTCTAACGATCATTTGGAATAAATCGATGAATGTGAACTTCATTTCATTTTGTCATTTGTTTCTTCGTCAGTTTCATTAGGTGACTTTAATAACACTTAAAAATCAAATATCCCCTACTTTTTTTGAATAGTATATTTCTGGAAGAGGGCTACTGTTGTGTTACGGTACGTTAAAAATGATATTCTATTACGTTAACGATCAGACATCAGTTCAGAGGTCTTCGCACCTTTGGTACAGTACAAATTAGCCCAATTTCACAAAATTAGGGTTCACGTAACGGCGTGCTCTGATGAAACACTTGCCCAAATATGGTCAAGGATCCGCCCTGATAGTTGACGGCCCTAACATTTTTATATAAATTAGACCAGCGTGTTTTGCCCGGGAGACGGTTGAGCGAAATAGCCAGTAGCCAGGGTAGACATCATAGGTTTTAATTGTGATTAACGTTAAAATAACTAAAGAACAATTGCTGTGTCGATGTTGTAGAATACATCATTGTAACGTATAAAGATCAACGAAGACAAAAAAGAGTTTGAGGTCTTATTGATCACAGTCCTACTCAGACATACGACAGTATGACAATGAAGAGTTGGTCGTCTGGACATAGAGTAGGTGTCCCCAGAGTGTTACATTGTCGTTTTGGTGCCGTCACAACATAGGATCTCGACCCTGATTCTTCAGACAAGTAAGTAACTTCTTCTGTCTACTTAGCTAGAAAGAACAGGACTGAATAATTTTATCCAAATTTAACTTCTCAATTGGTGGGTTTGTCTTCATCGATCTCATCAAATTCTGTTGCAAATGTCCATATGCTGATTACACTATTTTGCTTTATTACACTATTTTGTCTATACCGTTTTTTAAGGACTTCGAATTTTGTCTAATGGTTTGGATTGTTCGTACTTATTTTATTTTATTGAACCTTACCATGGCGATCCAAGGCGTTTTCGAGATTGGATAATAAAATATAGTAAAATATAGCCCATTGGCAACAATAGCTCAAAATAGGGTTAAGCTTATCGCTTTTCAGATCAGTGTGGGGGGGGGGATAATTAATTTCATTCAGAGATACTTGACTGTAAGTGCAACCCCAGACGCGACATGAGATCAGCTAACAACAGAGTTGACAAATACCTTCACCGAAATAACCGATCCACAACAAGCCCTTTCGATGTTAAGGAAGATTAAGCAAAGACCCGAGGACAGAACAAAACAAAAGGAAACGCTTTTTGATAAGGTTAGGAAAAGATCCACGGACGAGGCCACGAGTCAAGAGAGTGCAGGGCCAGGCGATCTGTCAATGAGGTACAGACTTTGCGGAAATGGACCGTTTGATTTTGACTGTTGGTTCTGTTGGATCACGGGACATTACAAGAGAGATTGCAGGAGGTACCTCCAATATATATAAAAAGGAACCCGTCCTTAGATGAAAGAAATTGACATTTTCAAACACGTCCGTTAGGGAACCAGGGAAACCATTAAACCCTTTTTGTGGAGCCGACAAAAAGAGTTCATCCTATGCACCATTGTTTCACATACATTTGGCAGGTAGCTCCAATTCTTGTTTAATAAAAATAGGCAGCCACAAACACCGAGTCCTAGTTGATAGTAGAGCCCAAGTCTCCTTAGTCCATGCTCGATTTTATAATTCGTTAAGTAATAGGCCAAAATTAAATAAAATTAAACCATTATTACAATCAGTAAACGGCGAACAATTAAATATAATAGGAAGTGTTATGTTAAACTTTGAAATGAAGGGGGCTAAAGTTAAATCACACTTTTTATGGTGTTACCAGTAGGAATAAGAACCTAATATTAGGATGAGATTGGTTAATTGAGAATGGTGTTGGGCTCTATTACGATTTAGGTTGTCTGCGAGTAGGCAAAACATATGTTTCCCTTTAAGACGACGTCCACATTTCTTCAATATTGCGAATAGCAGATGAAGTGGTATTAAAACCTTAAACCAATAATATATGTAATGCAAAATTATAGTTTCATGGCTATATAACGTCTAATGGAAATTTGTTCGAGATCGAAAGTTTATCAACAGGTTACGTGAGTAGCGAACCTGGATTGATGACCACTAATTCTTTGTTTAGTTTGACACAATGCCAAAATAATACCTATACTCATTGTTAATAACACAAATAAGATTTTCCGTCTAAAACGAGGTTGGTTAATTTGGCGCGCGCTACCTTTGTATATTTTTAACGTTAATTCTGTTTCTGATACACAGAGATATACAAACCTGTGCCAACTGGGAGAGTATTAGATGATACTCGCTGCTGTTCAAGTGCCAGACAACGCACGGAGTACCTTGCTATCAGTTTTAAAGATAAATCATGATCTATTTGCAGCAAACGATACGGAGCTAGGTCATTGTTCATACAGATACGGTTAAAACGACCATTGATACCGTTGAACATCCGCCCATAAAACAGCGACCCTATGACTACACGACCAGTCGTTGAAAAAGCTGTTGACGATATGCTCACCGCTTGCATTATCCGTCGTCCATCGTCCCCATGGAGCTCTCCTATTGTAATAGTTGATAAGAAAGACGGAACAAAACCTTTCTGCGTAGATTTCCGACAACTGAATAAGGTAACGAAGTTCAACGCCTCCCCCTCCCCCTGGTTGACGAACTTATGAGTGAATTGGATATATCAGCATATTTTACGACGCTAGATATGAAATCTGGATATTGGCAAATTTTGGTCGATGAGAAAAATAAAGAAAAAAGGTTTATTTGAGTTCAATGTTATTCCTATCGGAATTCATAATTGTCCGAGTATGTTTTCAAATTTAATGACTATTTGTTTGAAAGGTCTTGAGCACTTCGCCGTCGCTTACATGGACGAAATTTTCATTTTTTCTTGATAGATTACGACAACACGGTTTAATATTGAAGTTGAGCAAATGCCACTTTTCCAACAAAATACTCGGGCTTTTGTAATTACGTCAGAAGAAGTTAAACCTGGTCCTGATAAAGTTCGTGCAATACAATCCATTGATCCTCCAAGAACCGTTAAGAAAACACGAAGTTTCACAGGCATGTGTAGTTATTATCTTTGTTTGTCAAAGGTCTGTCATTCGAATTATATGGTCTGTGGTCTATGGTGGTAAATCTCACCCGTTTTTAATAATTCACTGGCATCCTTCCTGTTTGTGGTGATATCGAAACTGTGCAGATTACAGTTTGGACTTAATCCTCAATCAAGTTCATACGGATATTCTTTGGATTTACTACAACGTCATCTCTGATAATCTTTAAAATTAAAACAAGTCGCACTCTAACCCGATTCCGAACTTTTCGTTTTTCTCATAAATTATTATAGGTACGCTAAAGTCGTATTCTTTCATGTTCATATAAAAATATCATAATACGTCAATATCGCAAATTCAGCCTCAAAATTGGAATTTTCCGTCATTTTCATAGTCCCTCTCCTTTCGAAAATTTTCTAGGGAGAGAGCACCCTAGACCATTCTTCGAAGGGGGGCGCGTCCACGGTGCCGTTCGCTGTGGACCGTCAAGTGTAGGTACATCGGCGCCTCTAAAAGCCCCATCGTTGCCCTCAGAATCAACTTGCCGCCTCCAAACATTTTGGGCTAGCTATGGGCCTGAACTGGCAGTCCTGTTTAATCCGTTGAATATCAAGCCCATCCGATTGCCTAGAGCGTTGATTATGATATTGGCATTGTGAATAAATGCCCAATTAATGATTTATATATAATATGAAGTCTTACACAATGCATCGTTAAGTTAAGCTTATTTTAAACATGGGTCAATATTTACCCGAATCAACTATCTCAGCCACATGACATCGAAATAAAGGATTTGTACCAAAACCATCTTCTCTGAAAGCTGTAAAGAGACAAACAAAATGCCTGAAAGGTCAAATTAAGCTGAAATAAAAGGTTACTATACTATGCTCAGAGGGAGACCTCTCAATAAGAAACACCATCACTCTCAACAAATGTAAATAATTCTGAAAAATACTAAATTCAAAAACGCTGGTCTATTTAATAATATTTAAAGGGGCGTTGATTTTGAGGGTAGGGAAGTGCTTTAGTTCATAACGTCTGCCATTGAGTCAAGTGGCGTGATTTCGAGTAGGGTCGCCTGTTCAACCCCATGGGTTTTATCAGGGTCCTCCGATTTCCTGGCATTGCGAATTACTGAAATAAAATTGAATCGGATGCTAGTCTCTATCTCAATGCAACTAGGAAACCACATTGGCTCATTGGATAAGATGCTGGCTAGCTAACCTAGGTCCCTGCGTTGGCCGAGAAAGTTCGTCAGGACTCTCTCTCTCTCTCTCTCAGGATTCATTTACGTGCACGCTAACATCAAAACGGGAAGTTTTTGTACCAAACGAAGGAATAGGCTATGTTCATTGACAGACCCATCTCACAACTTACAAGGGGAACTCAAGCTTGGATATCTCTAGAAAGTTCCACAATCAATACTATGGTCAATCCCGGAACATCCTGGTCAGTGACACGCGGCCTTACTCATTGAACCACCGCGGCTCCCACATCCCAAGGACTGTCGAACAAATTGAATTACACCTACAAGTTCTTGGACTTTTGCTTTTAATTAGTTTTATTGAATAGGCGGGAATGGATAATGGTTTACTCTGAATAAATTGCAAAAAACGGGCTTGGTGATTTATCAGAAAACATCATACTCAAAATCGGCCGAAGTCGGCGAAGGTGAAATGCCGTAATTAATATAAATCAATATGACAGTCTATAGTTATATTGCGATTTGTGGTGGAAGAATAAATATATATTATTTTTAAAATGAAGTTACTTACTGTCAGAGGTTAATTTCGACGGATATGCTGGGTTGAGAAATATGGCCAGATCCTATTTACAAATAAAAGAATTATTTCGAGGATTACAGTAGACAATTACCAAAGGGAATCCGAAAAAAAATAACATTTTTCCTAATTTCCTATTGTTTCATGGTTCGACGGAAATTCTTATATAATGGTGTCTTTAGTGTATGATGACTACACAGTGTTTCCACACTTTCGCATGGGTGTCATGAAAATACGTAATACGTGACTGTCATAGCATATGAATATTTTTCTGGATGGTAGAGTTATAACACAACAGTGTTATACAGACGGTATTTCCACAGTTAACTTCTTTTAGCAGGCTATGGAGGTGAAATTAAATGAAACATTGTTCGGCTCCGACTGGGCTGTGTGTGTGTTTGGGGGGGGGGGGGGTGTACCAGGTCATACGGCACACAATAGACAATGTACTTCCAATATGAAGTGGACTACAGTACTGCGGTGTATTTATTATGTTGGTATGTGAATATTCTATTTGTACTGGCCTACCTTCGTGTTATTGTAGATTTGTTCACAATCGTCTTCTACAGCAGCTCTGATCATGTAATCTGCCATGTTCTATAAACAAGTATTTAATACAGTGAACGCTGTGTGTGTAATCAGAGAAATATGCCCTTGACAACTATGGAGTTAAACTGACGACATGATTATATTTGATTACTTTGCTAATGTTTACTTCAATGCATATAATTTCAAGTTATCAATATATTTGCATATAATAAACCAGCTTTTTATAACACATAGTAAAATGCTAATATGGATGTAACATCTTATAAATATTATAGTTTAAATTTTCGAAATGGGGTTTAACGTCCAACTACTCTGCCCCGCATGAGCTGATGAAGACGAACATACGCTATACAGGGAGCGGCGCTACGGCCTATTCTTATTTCGAATTCCATGTGTATGCCCATGTGTTGTTTTGGCCCATCCGAACGACTATACATTGTCCATTGCTGGCCCACCGCCCTGCACCACTGACAATCTCGATGAACTTTCTTGGTCAACACAAATATAGCACATGGAATTTGTGGTTGGTTATATGTTCATTATAACTTTTAATTTACTGTGATATGTTATATTTTAACTTTTGTATCAGTATTTAATACAAACAGCCACTAGTGTTAATATAGAGAGAGAAATGGGTTTAACGTCCACTCGACACAAACTAGGTCATTTTGAGACTAACACATGGTTCAATTTTATTTCAATACTTCTCATGCGCGTAGGGATCTTTGGCAGTGGGAGGAAACCGGAGGACCCCGAGAAAACCTACGAGGTTGGACAGGCAACCCTACTCCTTGTCACGTACAACCGGGGAATCAAAACCCCGCCAGTTGTCTCAATGACAGACCGTATGATACAGCGCGTGCGTGCTAACCATTCGGCCATCCACCCCCCCCACCCCCTTCTACTGTTAATAATGCTACGTTAGCTTATGGAGCGTAAATTTTGCCTTGTAATGCTTTTGTCTAAATTGCTTACTCGGTTTTGTTTTGTTTTTTTCAAATTTTTTGTTTTTTTCATATTTTTTAATAACAATATTTCATTCAGTAGATTTCTGAATTTGTATTTAGGAAAAAGATATACCTATGTGTAACCCCCTCTCTACTTACATAACTTACATATGTAACTTACATAATCTGTCAAAAAAGAAACGCATAGGTAATATGAAGAGAAGTAAAGGGTTTGATTTTACAAAATTTCTTTTTTGTTCCCGCTTGATGAATGACCATGTTTCTGCAATAAGATAGCACCCCCACATGTCTCCTAAAACCAATGTAACGCACGTTATGGCATGTTATGGTTAGGAATTTGAAGTTGCTATGCTCGCAATGATGTCGCATTTACATTTCAACGTAGACGAGTTACAAGATTAAGCCCGCCGAATCGAAACCTTGCAATAGGTCGCCTGTGGGTAGGTGAATACATCAGAGCACTATTCTCTGCCTCTACGACATGAATCGGTAGTTTAACAACTGCAGCACAAGATCGCTAAATTAGGGTTCTGCACAGGCGTCACCCAACCTCCACAGCAGTGAAAACTGCAGGGTGCGTGCCAGGTATGCGAAGGGTGTTTGCACCCACAATTCAGAACCGACTTAGAGAACGGCGTTATTGTCTACTCTGATTTAGAATTCCAAATTCCAAGGGTTCTTTTACGCCAATGTGTAGACGGTACCTCGTTTGTCGTTTCATCCGAACGGTTAGACACTGTTCTAAGTTGTTTGGCCCTTTGCCTTGTACCACAGGCATGACCAAGTAGATGAGAGAAGTAATGGACCATTAAGATTAAGTGTTTTACTTTTTTATTTACTTTTTACGTCGAAAATAAGATAGCCATATAAATACCAACAACTTTGAAACACTATGGATTCGGATGAGTCAGATGGCCTAAAATTCAGGTTCGTATATTCATAAATCTGAGAAGCGTTCGTTCCTTCGTTCGTCCCTGGGGTTTTACGTTCACTTCCACCTAGGGTGATATCGCAGACAAGTCTAAGAAGCGGTGAATAAAACTATTTATACGAGCATGGGTGTATCAATATTTAAACTTCGAAGAAGCGGTGAATAAACTATTTATACGAGCATGGGTGTAACAATATTTAAACTTCTTGATCGATAAAGCTTTAAAATATGTTAAGCCAATGTTTTCAATTACGAACGAGGAGTGTGGAGAATATTAAGAAAGGGTGTTACACTGAAGCATTTGTGTTATATTTAAGGCTTCAGCAAGCCATGGAAGATGGACTTTAACAAGAACTAATGGAATCATTATCCCTTCAAGCCAAGAAAAATAAACGTATGTCGAGCAGGAAACGCAAGACTGTATGAAGTTCTGTTATATGCGACAGAACATGGTCTTGGTCTGCATTATGCGGATAATGTGATAAACACAATTATATGTAATGAGCACCTATTTGTTATTCGAATGTATAGTTAAATTGGTTGGTGCTGGTTTGGACCTTAACCAGTTAAATCAACATGGTGTTACGCCTGTATTTGAAGCAGTCTGTGCAGGATTGTTCGATGTCATGCTATATCTGATAGATAGTGGTGATGATGTACATTGTGTTGATTCAGCTAACAACACTCTGCTAATCGCACCATTATGTTGCGTTGAAATACCTACTCATGTTGATATGGATTTATGGATAAAATGTATAATTAAACTGGTTACTGCTGGTGTTAATATTAATCAGCGGAATAAAGAAGGGCTAACTCATTTATTTACAGCTGTTAGCAAAGGGATGTGTAATATTGCCATATATCTTATAGACCATGGTGCTGATGTACATTTAAATACGAATAACCCTCTAAGTGTACTGCTCTTATGCCAGGATATTAGATATAATGTGTTATTATTAAAGTGTGTAATTAAACTGGTTGATCGTAGTGCATATGTGAATCAGGTGGATGAAGATGGATTGACTCCTATATTTAGAGCTGTTATGTTTAAATTGTGTGATGTTGCTATATATCTAATAAAGGGTGTAGATTGGTATTTAAAATAGTTGAATGTAGTGTAGATATCCACCAGCTAGGGAAGGATTACACGAAGTTCTGATATATCTGGCGGAACATAGTGCTGATGTACATTATGTTGATGAATGCCAGAACAATCTACTGTACATGCTTTTTGTGAAAGAGGAACAAGGGATGTAGTCATAACGGCCCTATGCCATAACGACCAAAAACAGGTACGGGTTATATTAAGTTTACTCAAGATAGCTTGTTACCGTGTGTTATTAAGTTGGTTGATGCTGGTGTAGATGTCAACCATCCTAATAGTCGGACACATATGCCTATACATCTAGCTGTTAAATTTTTTGAACTACATTTTATTTGATGATACAAGGAAGGGGGACAAAAGAGGGGAGAAGTATGTTGCATTTACTAAAGATTTCATGGAAGAAGATGAGGAGAAGTACATTCAAATTACTAAAAAGCTAATAAATATGGGAATAGATATTTTTTTAAAATACGGAGAGGAACAGATTACGCCGTGCGATCGACATGTAAATGGATGGACTTATTGTTGGAAGTTGGTTATAATGTAAACCATCAAAACAAACACTGTAGAACACTAGCTTCTACTAATGACACACACACACACCTAATACACACCTAATACACACCTGAATAGGTTTAGTTTGCGTGTTGGAAGTTGGTTATAATGTAAACCATCAAAACAAACACTGTAGAACACTAGCTCCTACTAATGACACACACACACACACCTAATACACACCTGAATAGGTTTAGTTTGCGTGTAGTATGGTCCTCATACATTTACTACTTATAACTTGTCATTGTACTTTACAAAAAATTTAACACGCCAGAAACGATATGGAAGTGATATATCTGGATTATGGGAACTATATTAGCATGTTTGTCATCATCTACTGGCTGTGTTCAAGCTATAACAGAACGTAATAAAGTGATTTTTTAAAATTTTATTTCATGGTTTCTATTGATTTTATGCCGTCATCTTTATCGGTTTTAGATATATAGTAAAAGTAATTGTGATAGCATTTTCGCACAGGCATGTAGGCCCACATTCTTCATGAAGGTCTATTATACATAGGGTTAATATTACAATAATAAAACTAGTTTATCATGGTAACCCTTTATTCTCGTCTTATATGTACATAACATTGGCGTTTACATCAAACAAGGTGTATATTTGTTAATATTAAAATAAAAAAAAACTAGTTGATCACTGTAGCCCTTATATGCAATTATCTGAATATCTAATTTTATGGGGAAATTATGTGAAGGTTATTAAAATGTCTCAGGTTCCGCGCTGTGTAAGTTGCAAACCAACCAAGTCTATATACTCTTCAAAATTATTGTCATCCTACTGTTCTGCTCCGACTGGGCTAATGAAGCGGAATTTAAATAACGCTATTTCACACATACATTGCTTAATCCATCATGTACCTAATTATATACTCCACTGACTAATCATTTCAATTTTAACTACGTTCAACATGTAAATATCTCAACAATCTCCTCGTCAAATCCATGATACATATTAGTACGTACGTCCCATTTCTCATTTTATTTTGATTTTGGTTATCGTCCATTTTATGTACAAACCCCTCCTACATTTATCACGACTTTTTAATACCATAAGGTTGCCTAGTAACAGTAACAGTGTTGCCTAGTAACAGTAACCATGGAGTATCAACCGAATATAGACTGATACCATTGTTTAATATCTAGGGCAGGTAAACTATGGAAGTCGCTACACGACACTAACTTGTTGCTGTGCCTGCAAAATAAATGAAATGGATGGCTTAGTATTCTGTTCTGACTAGGGTAATGAAGACGGGTATATGTTTTATAGATTTCGAAATCGAACATTACGTGGTCTGCGGTCTTAATTAGTGTGCGCTAACCGACAAAATCGATACTTGCTCATTATTTAGTTTAGGTTTGAACAAAACTGAGGATAAACCATTCGTTGCAAACGTCACCTATAAAAGTATTGCTCGTGTTTTATCAAACAAATGATCCCCTGTCTCTCTCTCTCTCTCCCTCTCTCTCTATCTCGAGATGTTCTTATAATTAAAGTCAGCGTTGTCTTATCGCGTTCTGTTTGCCCCTACTCTCCAACGTTTTTGTGACCTTGTGACAGGGACGTTTGGTTTGTTTATCGAAATTGGTGAACACAATCTATGTTCGGGATCATCAACATTTCAATTTTTTCGGTTGTCTACGGCGTCCCCGCGTCTAGAACGACATCCGCACAATTTCCATCCGATCTGAAATGGTCGAGGGAGGTGCCCGCGATGCCTTACGCCCGTGAAATACAGTTTTCATTAAATTGCCCTTCCTGGGGTGTTCTTGAATTGGCAGCTTTCTCCACAACTCTCGGCTATATCGTGTGTGAAATTGACGACCACGTGAGCTTGTACATCACATTTGGGGAAGCAAAGTGGGCTGTTGCCAAAATACGACCCGAAAGTTACGGCAGTAATAACGTCTGTATGCAACAAATAAACCATGTTCCTTTTTGATATACGTGTAGATATTAGTTATTTACTGATAAAAGTTACAAGAAAACATCCAAGATTCCTCACGTTGTGTTTTGTCCAGTTCAAGTCTTTCGACGTCCAATACTTTACGCATGTAATAGAACACATATGTAAGCAGTTCGATGCCCTTTGAACTGACAACTCTCCTGCCTTATAAAGTGACTGTAGGAATTTTGACCATCACGATGCCGAATAGTGGCAACATCACAACACAATAGATAATCATAATATCCACTGATTACGAATATGCAGTGTGTTACAAACCGGTATAAGGAAGGAAATAGCTATTTAACATCTTACCCATTGTTAGGATGAAGAAAGGCTTTTCGTGGTACGTGTTTGATGTCTGTAGAATCACACAATATCCGTCCCATGCTAACTCTTCTGATGGCGGTTATTTGGCCTGGTGAAAACAAATATAGATATATTTAAACCACGAGGAGTGAAATGAAATGCAAATAATTGTAGTATAATATTTCTGCACCTACTGGGATAATAAAAAGGACTGGCGTATGCCATGCATTGTGCTATGCGGCCTACTCTTATTCCAGGGAACCACGGTGGCTAAGTGAGTAAAACGCTTGCTCGTTAACCTGTAGGCCGCGGGTTCGCTCCCGGCGTTAGCCGCGAAAGTTCATCGGGATTTTCCGGCGTGGTTTTCTTTTTTTCAGTGGTGCAGGAAGGAGGGTCTGACAGGGGCAGCTCAGAAGGTACGAAAAGTAGAGGGCCTGTGCACACAATGGGTGCACATAAAAGAGTCCCCTGGCAGTTGAAATTCAATATGTGAGTATGCCGTAGCGCTTTTCCCCGCATAGCGCACTGTATGGAGTATATGGGGATTCGGTTTTTCACTCAATCTCAAAACCTAGACACAGTTCCTTGTCAGATCTTATATTACATTGGCAGGACACAATGTATAGTTGCATTGAAGTGCATTTAAAAGATTTTTTGGACGTTAAATTTCGAAATATGAGTAGATCGTTGTAAGACATTAAATTTCCAAAGTCAGACATTTTTCAGAGCAGAATTATGCATGATGATTAACAGTAACTCAGCTGACCCAGTATGGATATTACTGGAGGCAGGACATACTCAGTTTCTCTTTGTGTAGTTTGTGGAGCTACGTCAACGTCAATCGACAACACTGCAAGAATTGGCCGTGGCACTGCAAGAGGACTTGGTCAGATTGACCCAAATCGTGAATGGACGGTTGATTAGGAGCATGCCACAAAGAATTGCTGAATGTCTGAGGATTGGTGGAGCAATTACTCATTATTAAGATAAAAATCAAAAATGTCCATTTTCACTTCTGACAGTGTATCTCATTCCGAGTGAAATGGGGACGTCAGATAAGCCGCCCATATGAATTGTTTAAGTTCATGTGTAGGCAACAGTAGTGCATTTCCGCAGTTTTGTATTGTTTCTGAATATCCTCTACTTTTTTTGAAGGGTATATATTAGAAACCAAACTTACCTATTGTAAAGCCAGCGGGATTCCCGCCAAGGTATGGTGTCGGAGGACGAAGATTCTCAAACCAGAATCGATCACCATATTTGAGATTATGAAACTGTTCGGCGATTATACAGGCAAAGGTTGGACCGACAACACCTCTATATATAGCTGATTCAGTCACGCCCCCTATAAACAAATCTACGTCATCAACATGGCTGAAAAATAGTTAAACCATTGAATAAACGATCCTTAATACTGATGGATATTCAAGGTCAACAATTTAAATACATGATTGTAAAAATATATAATTTGAATCACTATGGAGATATGTTTGATATGTAATACAGTCATCCGACCGTACGTCAATTTTTAATGCCTACACAAAAGGACTATTCAGCAAATACAAGCACATTAATACCAGCCTCGTAAATACATGAAAAACGAACTTGATTTCTTCACGAATCCGACTTCAGGAACCCAAACAGAGACACAGAGAGAAATGGTCTTTAACTTCCATTCCACAAAAACTAGGTCATTTTGAGATCGATTTCCGGTTCAATTTTAATTCAATAATTCACTTGCGGGTAGGGGTCTTTAGCAGTGGGAGGAACCCGGGAGACCCGGAGAAAACCCCCGAGATTGACAGGCGAACCTTCCGCTTGTCACCTACAAGTGAGCAATCAACACCACGCCACTTGACTCAATGACATACCTTGTGAACTAGCCGGCGTGTTAAAACATTCGGCCACCAATCCCTCCGGAACACAAACGGGTGTAGTACACCAGGTAAGTCACGTTTACACTTGGCAGACCCCCTGATGTCACTTCTTATTTCGGAACGCGGCATTAAATGTTTGGATTATATTTACCTATAAACCCGTTCCAGGGCTCGAACCTGTGGCGTACTACCGTCAAAACCAATAGGTGTTAACCCACAGTATTTTCTATATTTGTTGTAAGGTGGCAGACCGTGATCCCTGCCTCTTTGAATGTTTAAAGCAGCTAGATCTAAACCCGGTACGGTAAAATTTTGAAAAAGTTTATTTTTAACACCGTCGCTGAATATATGATCGGTGTCCTGACTTGAATCTTTTAGCATACCTTCAACAATTAGATTTAATCCTTTACCTTTAAATATAGAAACGTAAATTATATCATATTACAGTACTAAAATACCTATTATGTCCTTAACAGACACTGTTGATGTCTACAAATATGTGATAAAACTGGTTAATAACATTATTAAAGTAATTTTATTACATGGACATGGGGGTGCCTCCAAATGAAAGATCAGTGTTTCGAGAATCTAAAATCCGTGTTTTGAAAAACGGTAGGTATCTTTGTGAATCTGACAATATTTGTATGAGGAAGCTTATTTGGTGTGCCATCGATCACGCAGTTTGATTTCGTTTCAATTTTGTGTTTTGTAAGTAAATGATACCTATACACAGCCATTATACATACAAATCTGTCAATTATGTAAACATTTATACGTCCACATTTTTACATTAATTTGTGCCTCAATTTTGCCCGTTTTAGATATTGAGGATCAAAAGATTTTGGTTGAATTTGATTTTGGTGCAAATGCTTGGGTTATGGCCTTCTGTTCCGGAGTTAGTAACCCTCGAAAAACTTGTTGAAGCGATAGGGGTTACAGTTTTGACCATGATTTTTTTAAAAATTTGGTGTAGGCCATTGGGGTCATGAAGCGACAAACACAGCGATATTCAACGTTCGTGACCTTTCGTTGGGACAATGAGAGGATGAATCCTCTCGATTTTCCCTTTTCACTGTTCATCTATTACAAAATCTCGGCGTTGGCTACAAAAGTGTAAGCGGGATGATATCGAAGAAAACCAATATTGCCTGTTAAATAAACACTTTTTCCATTTACTCAAAATATGTGGAATGTCAAATTTCGCGCTATTCTTGATGACAAGTACAATAAATTCAGACTATATCACAACATCTTTCTGAAAATGTCGTCGAAAACATTTATGTGAAATAGAGATGTGCGTGCTTTGATGACAGGGGTATAAAATGGCAATACAAATACCTTGGGGGATTGAATGTTCCGGAAATAAATTTTTTCAAACCCCGAAATAGTGACAATCGAGTTAAATAAACTAAAACCAAGTACGAACAGTCCAAACCATTAGACAAAATCCGAAGTTCCAAAAAAGCGGTATTGGCAAAATAGTGTAATCAGGCAAAATAGTGTAATCAGCATATGGACTGTTCACCGTGTACAAGTGAAAGGGGGATTTCGGGCTACAATACATGCATAGACTGCAGTTGAAAATATCTCAACCAACCACGATAGCTGAAACATGTTTGTTGCTTTTAATTACGTCACGATTCTACTCACACCACCTCCGTTGTCGAGACTGACAGAACTGTGACAGGAGTGAATTCCGCGCCACTCGATTGCAATTTTGTTAATTCGGGACGTTCTGGGCTGGCATCGAGTTATATAATAGACATGTACGTACCTTGTTGACCAGAGTTATGAAGATTGAATTTGATTTTGGTGCAAATGCTTGGGTTATGGCCTTCTGTTCCGGAGTTAGTAACCCTCGAAAAACTTGTTGAAGCGATAGGGGTTACAGTTTTGACCATGATTTTTTTAAAAATTTGGTGTAGGCCATTGGGGTCATGAAGCGACAAACACAGCGATATTCAACGTTCGTGACCTTTCGTTGGGACAATGAGAGGATGAATCCTCTCGATTTTCCCTTTTCACTGTTCATCTATTACAAAATCTCGGCGTTGGCTACAAAAGTGTAAGCGGGATGATATCGAAGAAAACCAATATTGCCTGTTAAATAAACACTTTTTCCATTTACTCAAAATATGTGGAATGTCAAATTTCGCGCTATTCTTGATGACAAGTACAATAAATTCAGACTATATCACAACATCTTTCTGAAAATGTCGTCGAAAACATTTATGTGAAATAGAGATGTGCGTGCTTTGATGACAGGGGTATAAAATGGCAATACAAATACCTTGGGGGATTGAATGTTCCGGAAATAAATTTTTTCAAACCCCGAAATAGTGACAATCGAGTTAAATAAACTAAAACCAAGTACGAACAGTCCAAACCATTAGACAAAATCCGAAGTTCCAAAAAAGCGGTATTGGCAAAATAGTGTAATCAGGCAAAATAGTGTAATCAGCATATGGACTGTTCACCGTGTACAAGTGAAAGGGGGATTTCGGGCTACAATACATGCATAGACTGCAGTTGAAAATATCTCAACCAACCACGATAGCTGAAACATGTTTGTTGCTTTTAATTACGTCACGATTCTACTCACACCACCTCCGTTGTCGAGACTGACAGAACTGTGACAGGAGTGAATTCCGCGCCACTCGATTGCAATTTTGTTAATTCGGGACGTTCTGGGCTGGCATCGAGTTATATAATAGACATGTACGTACCTTGTTGACCAGAGTTATGAAGATGTACGTACCTTGGTGATCGACGATATAGAATGGACTGTTAAACATTTCTACAAGTAACATATAAATATCACCATACGACCACGCGTTCGGTATCGTAGAATGGCCGTATCTAAACGCAGCTGTAGAGAAACTGTTGATTATTCTAGTATCCAGGTTATCGTCATATCGATGCATCACACCAAACGTTGTCTTTAATCTGAAACCACGGCGAGAGAGAGAAATTGTGTTTAACGTCCATTCGACATACGCTAGGTCATTTCGGAACTAACAAATAGTTTAATAATTCGATTGTACGTAAAGGCCGTTAGCCGTGGGAGGCGACCCTACTCCTTGTCATGTACTAGCAGAGAATATATAGCTTCCCACTATCATGATTCGTGCTACGATTGAAATCGTGGTTTTAATCATGGCGTAATCGTGATGATCCTATCAAGTCTTATCATACATCGAGGTCAGTCGTAGCAATTGTATTCACCGTATCGGTACATATCCGAACGTATCTGCACGTAGCAAATCGTGGACTCAATAGGGACAATCCTGTCGAAACGCATCGCACGACAGTGGGGAACCTAGCAGAAACAGGAGAATAAGAAGAAGAGATGTGAGTTTAACATATGTCAATGATTCTCTTGCGTGTAGGGGTCTTTAACAATAGAAGGATGCCGGAAGACTCGAAGGAAACCTACGAGGTTATGCAGGCAACCCTACTCCTTTTCACGTAAAACCTGGTATCGACAACACCTGACTCACGATCAGACCTTAACCGTAGAATTCTTTGTCAGTTGCAGGAAACCGGACGAATACCCACGCGGTAATCGAGGATAGTATAAAGTAGGTTTAGTTTCATCGTCTGGACTAATAGGATTTCAATGCGGTGAACTTGACTTAATAGCTATATTGCTGAGGGAGTGGCTAAAGAGATAAGGGATTTGGCTTATACCTGTATTTTTGGGTGGCTGCTGGTCCAACAACAAGGGGCAGCCATTCATTATACGTTATATGTTGTAAAATGGCGGCTATTATTTTACGTGTCTCCTGGAAAAGTTTCTCATCATTCCATAAACGGTTCCTGATATTCAATCGTCTTAACTGCTTTGCTATTCGGTTGTGCAGCCTCACAAATATTGTGTGGAAAGCAGAAAGACCCGGATGTTCGTTGACTCTCGAATCACCTGTAGGAAAAACGTTTAGGTCGTGTCACAAAAAAATGGGTATTACTAAAACCATAAATAAATGTAATTTTATTTTCAAGCTCAATCTGGATAATCAAAGTTGAAAATTTTGCTTGATGGTAACACATCCAATCTTTGTAATTAAGATTCGTTTCTTTCACGTACACACGGGGCAAAATACGTAAATCCTTGTCAGGTTGCTTAGATGAGATGAACGAAATGTGCCTCGCTTGTAAATTGACGGGCGGACAAACGAACCATTGATGACGTGTAATGGTGACAATCTAGTCGATAGTAATCTACAAATAAATGTTTCGGATACCAGGAATATATATTTGGTTTATTGTCCTGCTCGATGTCAAATTTAAAACTCTGGCCTCTATGTCTATCGCACTCACAAGCCAATTGTTGACGATCCGACGGGAGAGGTGACGTCATAAAAACTCTCAATGAAATGTGTTCGTATAAATATAGCTACAACTATCACGTGTTGTAGATATCGGATAGCTTACCGGCTAAAAGACAGAAATCTGTCACGTTTCGTTTAACACAATCCCCATCAACATCTTCTGGTAACATTCCATACATACCGACTTTCAGTAAACCTAGTTAAATTATAATGATACTTGGTTAATTATTGACTTTCAGTTAACCTAACTTTATAATAATGATACTTTGTTAATTACTGACTTTCAGATAACCTAATTATATAATAATGATACTTAGTTAATTGCTGACTTTCAGTCAACCTAATTATACATGTATAATAATGATACTTTTGATAATTACTGACCTTCAGTAAACCTAGTAAAAGAATGGCGATACTTGGTTAATTACTGACTTTCGGGTAAGGATAATTATATAATAATGATACTTTGTTAATTGCTGACTTTCGGTTAACCTAATTATATAATAATGATACTTCGTTAATTACGGACTCTCAGTAAATTTCTTTAATTAATAATAATTAGTTAATTGCTGACTTTCAATGAATCTGGTTAATTAGTAATTGCTTAATAAATATGACTCGACATACGATCAGTTATAATAATAATATGTCTTTTCTACTGGGGATTTTCATTTTATCATTCGTATTACCTTATTGTACCGGGTATCCGCAGATCTTCCACGGCAAATGTTAATGTAATAGTCAATACTTCTCCAGTTATATAAGTGGCCCTATAGCGAAGACGTATTATACTTGTTCACCGTGGCTGGTTTCAACCATGTATTCAATGTTTCTCGTTACGTGTAGACTACATCAAACTAATTCTCACCATATTGGAATTGTCTTAATTTCTTCTGCTCATCTTCGCTGCTTCCATATATGCTGCTACCGTCTATATATGACGTTATAGTATTCTTCTGTTCTCGAGCACCTATGTATAATTGTATTAACACGTATAACCCGTGTGGGTAAAATGAGCCATTTTATCTGTCATTTAGAAAACAAAAGATAGCGGATATTGTAGGATCAACCTGATACATATGAAATATTAAACGGAAAAATAACAAATATACGGAGTGGCTGCTGTGAGATATTGTTTATGAACATATGACACGTTTCACTTACTTTTTCTCAAAATTCACTTTCTCGACTTGCGCCACTTCAATCATACATATATGTATATAGTTCGGCTATTTTTTATTCGATCCAGACAAACCATACATCATTTTAAAGAGGACGAAGTGGGGTTTAACGTGCACTCAATACAAACTAAGTCATTTCGGGACTGATATATGGTTGAATTTTATTTCATTAACACGATTTTAATCTTTTAACCATGTGCGAATATGTTCAACTCAGAACCCGGCACATTATTAGAAGAAGAAGAATGAGAGGTAACCGGAGGACCCGGAGAAAACCCACGAGGTTGGACAGGCGACCCTACTCCTTGTCACGTACAAGAGGGGAATCGACACTACGCCACTTGACTCCATGACAGACCATTTGCCCACCCAACCCCTCATCATTTTAAAGGTATTGGGACAGGACATGTCAGAATAACATCAACCCTGGACCTACTGGCTAGTGATCCCGTCAACGCGGCTCAGTTATTCCAACTTTTTGTCATTATCGGAGAAACAATATGTTCTTATGGTTGCATTTTATAATAGTAAGTGCATGTGGACCGCACTGCACGCAAACAAACCATATAAGACAGACAACGCAGACATTGCAAACTATAAACAACAAATATCAAATCAAATGGATGGATCTGGGATCCAGTCGTATGCGTCCATCGCACTGTACAGCCCGAGCCCGTAATGATACAGGCTTCTCTCAAGTCAAATTGACAAACAAAACAAAATCAAATGAAATAAAATGGGGTTTAACGTCCTACTGTTCTGCTCCGACTGGGCTAATGAAGACGGGCATACGCCATACAGTATGCTATGAGGGAAATTTTGCCCGGGCAGCGGCGCTATGGCCTTCACTTATATCAAATTGCAGCTGCCAAGGGATATTTTACATGCAGGCCAACGTGGACACGGGGCCTCGGTTTTTGGTTTCATCCGAACGACTAGACAACTGCCCTTGTCAGACCGTCCGTCTTGCACCACTGACAAGGGGAAACCACGCCGGAAAGACCGATGAACTTTCTCAGCCAACACTGGAAGTTAACCCGCGACCCCTAGGATAGCAAGCCAGCGTCATACTGACCGCGGCTCCCGAAAAAACCCCAATGACTTACAGTAAACACGTAACAGAAATAATGCGATGAGTCTTGACGGTTGTTGTCATGGGCTATACTAGAGCGTCAAAACATTTAACAATAATAATGTAAATAATCCGGATGCAACGTGCATACTTATTCCCTCGACAACACCTGATATTATCCCTAGCTGAAGGAGTGAACATAGTCAATTCTAAACACTCACCTGACTTGCATTTTAATTTCGGGTCGTCAACTGTAACAGTTCGTACAAAGTTCATACATCTTCTAGGTTTAAAATACGGGTCGTTAATTGGTATCTCTATGGGAAAACACGTACCACTAGTAATAAAAAAAACAACGTAGCAATACGTTACCCCCCGAATTGGCATATACTCAACAATATAATATGTTTTGTTTATATAATTATAATCTATTCGAATTACTTTTCTAATTCATGAAATGAAATGTTGTTTAACGTCCTACTGTTCTGCCACGGCTGGGCTAATGAATACGGGACCGTTTCTAATGAAATAGAATATATAGTAAGGTGATGGCTCACTAACCAAGAGGTCCCAGCTTTGATCCAAGAGTTGGCCCGCTAACCAGCGGATCCCAGAGTTGGCCCACTAATCAGCAGATCCCAATGTTGACCCACTAACCAGCAGATCCCAGAGTTGACCCACTAACCAGCAGATCCCAGAATTGACCCACTAACCAGTAGATACCAGAGTTGACCCACTAACCAGTAGATCCAAGAATTGACCGACTTACCAGCAGATCCCAGAGTTGACCCACTAACCAGTAGATCCCAGTGTTGGCCCACTGACCAGCAGATCCAAGAGTTGACCCACTAACCAGTAGATCCCAGAGTTGACCCACTAACCAGTAGATCCCAGTATTGGCCAACTAACCAGCATATCCCAGCAGATCCCGGCATGCATGTAAATGCCCATTGACCGTTGGTGTGCATGTAAAACGACTATTGACCGTTGGTGTGCATGTAATTATTGACAGCTGAAAGAAGAGTAGATAGAGACGCACACAGCATGATGTATACCTGTCCTCAGTAGACAACTTGGTGCAGATGAGTAGGACGTTAAACTCCATTTCATTTTATTTAAATCCAATAATAATCGCGAGGTCGGATCTAGACAACTACAAGGGAAAAAAACGGGGACACAAAAATTTATTTTCTGATTTATGTGTCTATGGTTTTGTGACAAAATACAGATAATAAGATAACAAGAAATAAAATAAAACCAATTAAGTACGAACAAAAAGAAAGCAATAATGGAACCAGTCTTACGTTTTATCAACACCAGCACTTTGCTGTGATTTCATTTCTGTACAACATTTTATAAGACTTTTATCAGGACCTTCAAATAAAATCAATTCTGATAGATGCGTCTAATACATTTCACATTTAAATTGATAAATTATCAAATTACGTTTCACTTGACGATGCTAAATCTAACACCCCCCCCCCCTTTGTTTAGTGGGTGGGGGTGCTTCCCTTACCGTTAGTTTGGGTGACGTCTGTATCACTACAGGCCCGGGACTGTACAGCACAGTGAGTGCTTGTGTTTGTGTCCTGACCGTGGGTTTGTCTTGTGTAGTTATGTATGTGTGGATCCCCCCCCCCCCCACAAACACACACACACTCCACTTACTAATGAACGGATGATTAATTTATATGAACTTCAGTTTGTTTTCAGATCCCATACATATCCTTGTCAATATTAAACGGACAATTAGGTAAGATTAGATAAAGAGCTGGCAGGTCCCGCTATAATATAATTAGAAGGGAATATGTTAAAAATATCAGTCAAATTACTTTACTCTGAGCCGAGTTATCCTCGTTTCAATAACACTGTAGCCTCGATTGCCATTGCTATCGTTGTTACGATAATAAACAGTCTCGAGTATCCATTTTTACGGTAACCGCATCATCCGCAAAACGTATTTGAATCAACTTAATATGGCATCGAGTAGTTCATTATGGTTTTGATTAGTTCATTAATGTCTAATCAATAATGTATATAACATTTCAGGCCTTAAGAAAGACCCGCAATAGGCCGGTTTAGCTCTTGCACAATGCCTCTTTAATATATAATAAGTTGTTTTAATGACATGAAGTAATTAAATTGGAAATGCATGGAACACAATTTTGTGTAACATAATTAATATTTATTACTGAGAGACGTTTCGACTAATATTCTCTAGTTCAAGCCTAGTCTTAGTAACAATCAATAATCATATTCCATGATTTGGTATAATAATTCAATCACGTGTGCAGAGCTATTACATTTTGGGGGGTTAAAGGGAGCTAACTTGTCTTTACAATAATTAAACGCTAGGAATAGAACCACCAACCTCTTATATTAGGTGAGAAATCTATATCATGGTCTAAAAACTGTCCATATACTTGAAATAAGTTGGTGTAGATCGTATCTATGGCACCATTGACCTCTATATCTACTAACGCATTACTGATCTTTCTGGTACTACATAGTAACACACCTCCTACACCACGTGTTCGCGGACTTCCAAATCCTACAAAAGAATTATTCATTTGATCATGTATTAATGTAATAAATATATCGGACACCGCAGATAACAAACAAGGGAAATAACTCTACCATACTATTATGCAGAAATATACTTTAGATTTATATCTCTATTCCCACCGAAGTCTGTATTTCCACTCGAGTCTCTGTTGTAATTGAGAGACGTCGCTTCACTCGGGTTTCTGTTGTCTTTGAGAGAAGTCGCTTCCACTTTAGTCTCCATTGTCACTGCGAGACGCCCCATAAATTACCCGAGTCGCTATTGTAATTGAGAGAAGTCACCCCCACTCTAGTCCCCATTGTCACTGCGAGTCGCGTCACAGCGAGACGCCTCATTAACCGAGTCTCTATTGTCTTTGAGTGAAGTCGCATCACTTTGACCTCTGTTGTCACTGAGAGCGGCCTCATTACCCGAGTCTCTATTGCAATTAGCATTAGTTCATATTTCCCCAATATGCATCTAACGCGTCGTCTTTGTTTTGTATGGCATTAACGCTTGCCTGTCGCTCTCCCCGCCCCACCGTCCTTCAACCCACCCCTCACTTCGCAAGGTAGGTATATATTTACTTTTACCAAACACCTGATACTACCGGATACCACTTCCCAGGAGGTTTGTTTACTTACCATCATCGTAATGATTATCAATTAACCTCCTAAGATCAGTTCCAGCTGCTCCCCAGTACGGTATCTTAAGGTTGTTACATCTTCCATCAGGTAGTCGATATTTCTCGAACGGAGAACACTGAACATTCTGGTACGAACATGCCTGATCCGCCACACTGAAAATACATATTCCTTTGTTATTATGGAGATGAATTAATAAAACGTCACTATCTGGGAGGTCCTGGGTTCAGTTACGGTGTTTCGCCTTGTTAGTGGTGCCCGGTTTGCCTGACACATTTGGTTATTTTCCATATCTGAATAAGAGGTCACTACCTGTGAGGTCCCGAGTTCGATTCCGGTGTTGGTCGAGAATGGATTAAAGCCAGGATTAATCTTGTTAGGGGCGCAGGTCGAGGGACCTGCTAAGGTCACCCGATTAGATTTTATTACATACTTCGAGAAGGTATTTGTTGAGTAATAAAACCTTCTAGTAGTTTATCGAGGGCTGGCCGTCCTTACCGCACGGTACAAATAAAACCTTATAGTAGTTTTTCGAGGTTCGGGTGCTTCCGGAGTCCAAAATGGCCGCTTGATATAAATGAGAATTTCGGGGATAACTAACCCGAACCCTAACCCTAACCCTTTTTAAAAGACTGAACTTGGGTCTAATTTAGTTTTTACTTCTCTTAAAAGGGTTAGGGTTAGGGTTCGGGTTAGTATTCCCCTAAATACTCATTTGTATAAAGCGGCCATTTTGGTATGAGTTCTGGCTTGTTCTGGAATTTGTTGCTTCTAGTGGTGATAATATTTGTACCGTGCGGTAAGGACGGCCAGCCCTCGATAAACTACTAGAAGGTTTTATTACTCAACAAATACTTTCTCGAAGTATGTAATAAAATCTAATCGGGTGCTAAGGTAATGTCTCTGACCAAACCATCGAGGTAAAAACCATCGCATAAAATTGGCGGTACGTTAAAGACACCCTTATAATTGGAGGCGCAGCAAAGTAATATTTAAACCCCCATTTCATTCTAAATAAAACGTAAACGATATAGTGGCGCTACGGCCTACTCATATTTCGAATTCCAAATGTCAAGGGTTCTTTTACGTACACGCCAATGTGTAAGAATGATAAGAAATACCTTCTTGAGAGGGGAATAACGTGGCGTTTATTTCTTGTGCTAGATAATTTACTTACTGCATCTATAAATTGAACAGCTGCAAATATAAAAAATACAAGTTTACTTGAAAAGCCGAGAAGAGACGATAAGATAAACAAAAACAAAATCCTCCCAAGCCGAAAAGAAAATATTAACAGCAAACAAAACCAATATTTAATCTAAATCTTTTTAATTTGTTTGTTTGATTAAATCTATTTAATTTTTTAGTGAAAGCGATATATGATAACAGATAGCTTTATTAATAGCATTCACTAGGTTTATTAACTTCAAAAAGGATAAAGCTGGCTGTAGTATATTTAACTTACCCTGATTTTGCTGTGCAGCCAGATCGAGGGTTAAACATTGAATAATAATCACAATTCTTAATCCTTTAATCATCTTCGGTTGTCTCCCTTTCGTCATCTTTACCACAGGCCGACGTTCTCTCGGTTACTCATTCGGCACATCAGTGATGTCTTATTCGCCTTTGAAGATGTCATCGGGTGTAATGACTATATGTAAAGAAATATTAAATAGGGTTTAACGTCTTACTATTCTGCGCCGACTTGGATAATGAAGACGGACATACAGTGTGCTATTAGGGAAATTTTGCCCGGACAGCGGTTGTTGAATTTACCTAAATATCGTTATAAATGGGAATAATTCATAATCCTTATAATCTAACACTCAAGTGATGACTTGACTATTTTTCGTTAAAATAAGAAAATAAAACTAGACATAAATTGGAACTTGAATATATTAGTGATATCTTGCTATATTTCTCTGAAACATATCGGATGTTACTAAACAGTAAAACATATCGAGTCATATCGAAAGTATTCTTTACACTAAGAAATCGTAACAGAAGAAGGCTGAGGTAAGTATATAAAAAAAACATATTTCCTTACTTCATTCTTTTTATTTAAAAAAAACACGAGTCATCGATCACGAAAATAAGACACTGGATCGTTGGGAATAATTGTCAACTTACAGCAT